TTTAGTGATAAACTTCCCGGGGGGCTACTTCGGGCTAGACGCCAACTATGGCTAGTTTCTTGGCAACGCATAACTTTTGAACTCGTCCTCCGTACAGTGGTTGTTGTTGCTACATGTGTGCATGTGAACATGGGGTCAGATCCTCATTTAGGCAAGATTTGCCGAGGACAGGAACAGTAGCAATCTTTACGTGGGGTGGCTTATTAGTAGAAGAGATGAGAAGGGATATGTAGGCAGTGGGCTGAGATGGAGCTATGCCAGATGGTCTGTGTAAGTATATCGAGTTAATTTCAAGCCTGGAGAGGGGGAGATCCTACCAGAATTCGAGCCGTACGAACCTCTATCCGCTTCGCCCCCAAGGTCAAGAATCTGTTCGCGTTGTAATGTACATGTAGGCGGCTGATCTCTCCGCAGCTCTCGATAGCTTGAGTGCATGTGGCCAGAATACATGCACCGTATTATGCGGACGACCCTTTTGGGGAAACTCGCGAGGCGTCGCGTCGCCCGGCAGCCCCGGCTGGCTGGGAGGAAGGAAGCCTGCATGTTGTCAGACTGCAGTCAACCGCCCTGTGGACCACTCACAGTCGCTCCATCAGCCTACATGTAATCATGAGCCTGTTCCTTGGTGCTATAAATTTCCCACACATTACACTAGTATATAACGGCCACCATGCCGATTGATGGCTCTTCCTGATCCTAAGCCCATTCATCCAAGACCTACGGCAAAGGGGCCCAAGATCGACCAAAATGTCCCAACCCATCCCCATCATCATATGTGGCAAGTCTGAGGTTATCGGCCGCACGGTCGTCGAGGGCATGAAGCCAGAATTCGAGGGTACAACAATTGATTTTTTTCTGGACAGAACGTTGACTGACAATGCTGTGGCACAGTGATCCTCTTCTGCACCAGCCAAGAATCGGCCATCGCTCACATCCCGCTCGCTGTCAAGCAGAGTGTCCCTGCCGAGGCCGACCTGAGCACCGTGGGAACCAACGACTTTACCCGCAAACCGGTCGCTGCTGTCCTCGGCGGTGAATACGGGGACGCCTACTTTGATACCATCAAGAGCAGTGTGGAGGCACACTTTCCCGGGGGCAGCGGCTTGCAATGGCTGAGGCACGACGCAATGATACCGTCTCCCCCGCTTGGACCTGGGTACGGCCAGCATGTCATGCAGCGAGCCAAGGACGTGTTGGCACGCCTGAACAAGGAAGGTAAATTCGGGACCGGCCAGACGGGGGAGCATCTGTACTGAATGAACATCTTGTTGAATGTCTATAGAATGGCGCATGTCTATGATCGTTGTTGAAGATCCCCAAAAGCGCCCGCCAGCCATGCCAATAGGAAAGAAAGCCCCTGAATCAGAAACGCCCCAAACAATGCACACCGAATCCCACTCGTCACGACTTCTTCTGCTGCTGAAAGAGCGATGCCAGTACACTGGACTGCTTGGTCTCCATCTCGTGAAACTCGGCCTCGTCAGTCGACTGAATGGTCACGGCACCGCCAGCACCCACACGCCATGTGCTGTCTTTCGACCCCCGGACGGCCGTCCTGATGACAACCGAAAAGTCTCCGGCACCGCCAATGTCCATGTACCCGATGACGCCCGAGTACAGCCCGCGCGGCCTCTTCTCAATGTCCCTCAGGATCTCGCAGGACCGCTTCTTCGGTGCCCCCGTCATGGACCCAGGAGGCAAGGACGACTTGAGCACCTCGAGGCCAGCCCTCTTGTCGGGGAGCTCGCCCTCAATGACCGAGACGAGCTGGTACACCGTCTCGTACTCTTCGACGACCATGAGTTTGGAGACCCACGTCTTGTCCGCGCCAATAACGCCGCTGAGATCGTGCCGGATGAGGTCGACAATCATGAGGTTCTCTGCTCTTTCCTTGGAGCTGTCGAGGATCTCGTGGGCACGTTCGCGCGTCATGCCGGGCCCCTTCTTCACCGTACCCTTGATGGGGCGGAACTGACACTGGCCCCCGCGTGTCCAGCGGAGGAAGCGCTCGGGGCTGCTGCCAATGACCGTCATGTTACCGAGACGCAGGAAAGCGCCGTGGGGCGCTGGGTTGTTTCGACGCAGGCGCTTGTACAGATCCCACTCGTTAATCTCTCCGGAGATTTCAATGGTCGTCTCGTCAGTGAGACACAGTTCGTACGAGTCTCCCGAGGCGAGAAAGTCTTGACAGCGAAGCACTTTTTCCCTGTACTCTCGCTCTGCTGGTCTCGTGACCTTGGCTCGCGAGAGTGCAAGATCGAGGGATCTGTCCTCTAGTGAGACGCCGGTACCGACCGCATCAGAGGTCCTGCGCCGCTTGGCGTCTCGCCCATGTGTGTCCTCGTCTGACCCGCTCACCGAGGACAGATGGTCGATGATCCGGCTCGTCGTGGCCAGCCACTCCTCGTCGTCGGGCAAGAGGGACTGGATGACGAGATTTGAGGCATGGTGGTCAATGACGATACTCCGGTGGATGAAAGCAAAGCTGACGTCTGGAAGGGTGCCCTCCTCACAGCTCGGATGAGCAGCCACGTCAATGCCCTCGAGACCTGCCTCGTAGGACACGAACCCCATGAAACCACCCCAGAACGGAATGTTCTTCTCGAACGCGGACGGGATCGGAGGTTGAAACACATCCAGAGCGTCTTGCAATGCCGGCCACACTTCCTCGATTCCCTTTAATTGGATAGACTGTTGCTTCGTTGGACCAGTGGCATAACGTAGGGTCTTATCGGCCACGCGGTAACTGACCTGGGCCGTTATATCGGGCATCACAAGACCGATGATGCTGTATCGTCCAGAGGGATGGCCTTGGGAGTCGAGAACCAGGACTTGATCCTGCGCCAGCCCTAATGCTTCCAGGACGTGAGGCAGATGCAGCTTCTCGATCGTCTTGGAAACGGACTGCTCGAAAGAGATTTTTCCGTCTGTGATCGACAAGAGGTACTCGGCAAAGGGCCCGTGACCTTGTTCTCCTGGTGAAGCGTCGCCATTACTGGTGCTATTGCTTTGTCCTCCCACTTTATGAGCCGTGCCGTTTGCCTGTTTCTCCTGCAAACGCGGCGCTACCTCCCTGCCATTCCGTCGACTCCAGTCCCGCGCCAGATCCCACCAACTCTGAATGAGCGCCTTGCCAGCCTTGTTCGTGCATATCGACTCTGGATGGAACTGCACGCCCCAGAAGGGTTTCGTCGTGTGTCTTACGCCCATGACAATAGGTCCGTTCAGCTCATCGTCCACATCCCATGCCAGTGGCTGCAGATCGGGACATGTCTCGGATGGTGTCCACGAGACATGGTCATCGCCAGCCGCGAAGCCCAGGTTTGCTCGGAGCGAGTGGTACTGCGTAGCCTCGAGATCTCCGATGCCGGAGAAGATGTCATCGTCTTGGTGCGTGACCCTGTTGACGATTCCGTGCCTGGCTCTCGCCAGCTTTTCCACCGTGGCACCGTGGGCGAAGCACAACGACTGAAAGCCGAGACAGATGCCTAGAATGGGAAGCATGCGCTCCTCGCTGAGCTGCCAGAGGTGGTTGATGAAACCAACGTCATCCGGGTTGGAGGGATGGCCCGGCCCAGGTCCGACGACTACAGCATCGAATTGATCGATGCGTGACTCGATATTCTTCTGGAAGCCAGCATCGTCAATGTGCACAAGCTCAACCGTCGTGTCCGCACAGGATTCCTCCAGCAGTCCGACGATATTGTTGGTGAAAGAGTCAAAGGCGTCGACAAAGAGGATTCGGTGACGACGGCCGCCAAGACGTCCCGCGATGGCCATGGTCACAGGTCGGGGGGTGAATCTGGCCAGGGGATGCTCTACTCAAGACTGGGAGGAATTCCCCGATGAGTGTGAGGCCAGAATGGCTCATGTAAATAGACGAAACCAAAACTTCAATGTGCGATCATGGCTGAGCTGAGATCGCATTGACCATTGCAGCATGATCAAAGCATGGTTCAAGAGCGGACATGGACGAGAGGTTGCCTCTGACAGTCATGACTCTTGGCGTCGTGATAAGGTTGGTGAGACTTTTTTTTACGGTGGAGTGGCTAAGATCGGCTTGAGTCGGCTAGTATCCGGGTCGGCCGTAACTGCATCTGGTAAGCCCCAGTCAGTCTGCCTACCCTGTGCATTGGGTTCCTGTCTCATGACTCTCAACTCTCATCACAGCATGACCTTCAAGGAAGCAGATGAGGACGACACGGTAGAGAGCGGGGATGACCAGCAATCGCCATTGCAGGAGGCTGCTACCACCGGCGACGTCGCTACCCTCCAAGCCCTCATTCGCTTCGACGCCGACGTCAATGAGGCTCCTCATGGCTACTACGGGCGCACAGCCCTACAAGCAGCGTGCGAGAATGACCATCTGGACTGCGCTCGCGCTCTCCTCGAAGCCCATGCCGACGTCCATGGCCAGGTCGGCAACAATCGCAGTCGGAGCGCCCTAGCTCTCGCGGCCGCAACAGGCAACCTCGCTCTCGTGGCGCTGCTTCTGAAGCATGGCGCCAAGGTCAACGATCCAGCGGAGCGATACTACGGGCGCACAGCACTGCAAGGGGCCGCGGAGACAGCGAGTGACGACGTCGTGAGGATGCTGCTGGATCGAGGGGCCGACGTCGATGCCAAAGGCGCCTCGACCAGCGGGGTGACTGCCCTCCAAGCAGCCGCCGCTTCAGGGTCCACGACGTTGGTCGCATTGCTTCTCAGCCATGGCGCCGACGTGAACGCGGCCCCGAGCAAGTACAAGGGACGGACGGCACTGCAAGCTGCAGCTCTCGCTGGGCACATCGACGTGGTGGACCTGCTGCTTCAGGCTGGAGCGGATGTGAATGCGCCAGGGAGCGACTTCAAAGGCGGCATGGCGTTGCATGCTGCGGCAGAGAGAGGCCATGTGGACATTGTATCACGCCTGTTGAGTCACGGCGCTGAGGTGAACGCGGTGGCAGGCTGGGGAGGGCAGACGGCCATGCAAGGTGCAGCCGCCGCAGGGCACGATGATGTCGTCGAGTTGCTTCGACAGGCTGGCGCAGTCGGTGGGCTTGGTAGGGGCGTTCTGCTGTTTGAATAGGATATCTCTTTCAAGCCTAGCGAGTATACAAACGTCTCTGCAGCCAAGTCATGTCCAGCTTGGCAGGTAGGTTGATCATCTAGCCACATTCCCGTCTGAGAGCCGCAATCGCTTCCATGTGGCGACGTTGCCACAGACGTCCGAGAGACCATTGACAGCAGCGGGTCTCGTTCAGAACAACCCATATCACCTCATATTCGACAAGACAAAAACTTAATACTAATTCTATGCTTGAAGGCTATGTCTCTGCGCAGTGCGGCTCAACTTCAACGAATCAATCGCGCTGGCGGTTCTCGATATGAGTAGCCTTGCTTAAAAACACGCGTGTTGTTGTGGCATCAGCGAGCGATGCGAAGACAATCACAAAGATACATGTATCTGACCAAACTGTTCGATGCGAATATGAAGGTCTCATGCCGGCAGGGGAAAGAAAGGCACGACTGTGCAGACACAGAGCTGCTAGTGACTGGAGCATAACATAAAGCAAGTCTATTTGAGCCACATGCCGTACGTTAGACGCGACAGCTCGCTTACAACATGCATATCTAGTCCCACGAGACACGGCTACATTCCCGACTCCAATCGAGTCTCCGCATCAAAAAGTAGGCTATAGCCGGGGGCCGGGGCATCCCCAGATTCCCCATTCCCCACCCTCTTCCAGCCGATCGGAAGGAATCGAGGCCATACCATGAGCGGAGAACCTCCTCCTCAGACTCCAGAGGTACAATAGCAGCACCAGCCGACATCCCCTGCCGAATGTTCCATCCAGTCCTCTACGACTCGAATGTTTAGCCCCTTGGGCCTGGACAGCTCCAATCCAGGGGAATAAGCGTGAACATGGAGACTGGGGAAGACATGGAGCCGCAGCGACCTGCAGCGTCGACTGCAAAGAAAAGGCGGTCCCGATTTGGTGAGTGGCCTCCTCGTCATTGGACAATGGATCAGCGTGGTCAACAGGCTGGCTCCGTCAGACTTCAGCATGCTGACCTACGTATCCAGGCTGCACCACCTGTCGAACAAGAAAGGTACCTCCTCCCATCGTCCAATGCATGAACGCCAGGCTGATCAGCAGGTCAAATGTGACGAGAGACCGTCCGGCTGTCTGAATTGCGAAAAGCTCCATCTTGAGTGCACCTACAGCCGTCCCACCGGCCAGCCGACAAGATCACAGACGGGGCGCAGGACGTATCGGTCCTGCAACGCATGTCGAGCTGCGCGATGCAAGTGCTCGGGTGACAGGCCTTTGTGTGCACGCTGTCAGGAGACTGACCTCCCATGTTCCTACGCAGACACCGGGGCAGGGACAAGCAGAAACGGGCTGTCTCAGACCAAGGGCACAAGAGTGACGACGACAAGCCCCGACAAGTCGAGCGAGGCTGGCACCTCCATGCGTCAGGGCAGCTTGCCAGCGTCCTCGAGTGTGGTGAGCGGGCCGTCAGAGACACAGCTTCCATGCTACGTTTATACTCCACTGCCAACATGTTGTGAGCCAGCGTTGCTGACGGCTGGGTCAAGGCTCAACTCCCGTGAACTGCCCGAGCCGAAACACATTCGCGTCCTGGTCAACCACTATTTCCAAAACTTTCATCATCTTCGCTGTTTTGCCTTTCTGCATAAGCCTACCTTTCTACGGAAGCTCGACGACGGGATCAGTGCCAACTTGCAGGACAATGCGCTGCTGCATATTATATGCACCCTCGGTGCCCAGTGAGCGACCCAAAGCAGAGTCTTTGCTCATGGCTCCAGCTGACAGATCCAGATTCTACGCTCTGGAGCACAGCGATACTGTGCAGTCCTTGCCGTCAGATTTTATCCTGCACGCGGGACATCATTGGGCAAAGACGGCTGAGCGTCTGGTCCTGGGTAATATCAATCACATCTCCATCGAGGGCCTCATGGTGAGTCTCCTCGTATTCCACTGTTCCAAATACATGATCCCTGACAGGCAGACCGCGCAACTCCTGTACGACTACGCCCTGCGAATGGCCAACTTCACGCAGGCGTTCATCCTGAGTGCCCTCATGGCTCGCATGACACAGGCCCTCCAGATCAACCTCGAGTACTCCTCCGACATTCTCAACCAGTCGCCACGCACGTCGCTTTCCGTCACCATCCGTGAATGTCGAAGACGCCTCATGTGGAGCTGCTACACCACAGACGTCCTCTGCGGCAGTGGCGTTGACCAGTTGACCCTGATCCGCGAGAAGGACCTCAGCATCCAGCTGCCGTGCAACGACTGGAGCTTCCTGCACGAGCGACCGCGGATCACGCGAACGCTGAGCGGGCACCCATTGGCATTTGTCCACGCAGACCTCGTGCCCTCTGATTTGGACGAGAACATGGGCTTGGTCGGCTACTTTGTCCAGCAGATGGAGATCAGGAGGCGTGTCCTGTGGTACATTAAGCATCTCGACCAGGCAAAGCCCCCCTGGCAGCCCGACTCGGAATTCGCCCTGCTCGACAGGGAGCTCCAGGCCTGGTACGAGTCGCTGCCTTCCACTTTGGCCTTCACCGCCGAGGCAATCTACATGCGCAGAGAGTCATCGCAGCTCGGCGCGCTGTGCGTGTTCCACTGCGCCTATCACCAGACCATGTGCGACCTGTACCGCATCGGCACGCCGGCGCTGTACAAGCTGAGGTCAGCCTTTACCTTTCCTCCCGACATGGGCCATTTCCAGAGCAAACTGCAGTTTGCCCTCTTCAAGGAGGCGAGGACACTGGCTGCCATCATCGCCGAGGCCGAGAGACATGGACCACGCACGCTGGCGGACACCTGGCTTCCGACTATCGCCTACGACAGCAACCGCATCATGCTCATCTACCTGACGCAGGTTAACGAGCCGGCAGGGATGAGTAAGAGAGATCTTGTCCTCAGCACGATCCCGTATCTGCAGAGCAACCTCAAGGCGCTCAGGACGCTGCGCGCGACCAATGCGGTGGCCGACGACCTGGTGAGTGTCTGCACTTCTGTATAAGAAGGATCACAGTTTCTGACATCCCCCACAGTCCCGTGCCGCGGAGAGCATGCTGGAGGCGCTGGGCGTCGACTCCAACAGCATCCTCCCGCTGCCCAACGTGATCCTCAACGACCCGTACCTCGCCCTCCTCAGCCGCAACCAACACGGCAGCATGCCGGGCACGCCACCCCAGAGCGCGCCCGACTACGTACTCAACCCGCTGTCCATCTTCCGCATGGCGCGGCACAGCATCCCCGAGGGCCACGCGCCCGAGAACGCACCTGTCGCTGCCGCCCGGGGCAGCAGGACCCTGCCTGCCGGCGATCCGGAGCTAGAGATGTCCAGCATGCAGCACCAGGACATGTATGAGAGCATGGAGGGTTTTGGCCACAACTTGGATATGTTCTTTGCGCCCCCGGACTCGACGCTGGACTGGCAGAGTGCCGACATGATTGTGGGGAACGGCGTGGACAATACGGGAGGCTTGCTGCCCTGGGCTGGTCACCTTGACATGGGCGACTTTATGTTGGAGCCCCCTGGCGATGGGGTTCGATGAGGTCTTATACTGGCTTAGGATGGATGTACTCAAGTCACTTCTTGGAACTGTGCCAATTCATGTACAACTATTTACTCCGCGTCCAACGGACAGGTCGGCGGCGTGTCGTTCACCTGGATCCCTCCCCTCTTCTTCAAGTGCATGTCAGGATACGGCAGCTTCCACCCTCCCTCGCTCAGGGGCACCGACAGCCACAGCCGCATGAGATGCCGCCTGGGCCGCAGCTGGCCCGCCTCGTCCCGCGTGCCCGGGTGGTAGTCCTTGTACGCGGTGCGGGCGTGGAAGACGTGCTGGTTGCTGAGGAACTGAATGTCGCCCGGGTCCAGGATCATGTGCAGCGACTCGCGCTTGCACGTGTCCTCGAGGACCTGCATGGCGTGCCGCTGCGCATCGGTCAGGGGCGGAATCTGTGCGTCGGGGCCCGTGTTGAAGCGACCCAGCGAGGTGACGTTCATGGGGTCGAATTTGCCGTAAAGACGTGGCGACGGGCCTGTGGGATCGTTCTCCAGGTAGAAGACGGCGGCGCGGATCCACGGCTTCTGGCCCTCGGACACCTCGCCCTTGCGGTCGAGGTACCAGATAGGCTCGCACAGGAGCCGCGCGACGTCCGGGTGCTCGCGCTGCAGGCAATTAAAGACGTTGTGCATGGAGCAAATATCCGACTCGCCACCCTCCATGGCCTTGGCCATGCACAGCAAGCCCACGAGGTCGGCGGCGTCGGTGTGGAAGTACTGCCGGGCGTTGGTGCGGTAGATGCGCACCTTGTCCGTCTGCGTGGCGTCCTCGCCGAGGTCCTTGACGTGGCCCAGGACATGGCCCCGCGAGTTCTGGCTGGTGAAGTAGCCCAGGTGCGTGCCGAGTCCCATGTAGGCCGTGGCGGACTTGTGGTTGCCCCAGGCCGTCACGGGGAGGTTCTTGAAGAGCCAGAAGCCCTGGCCGTCGATGAGCTCCCGCTTCAGCGTGGCCATGCGGCGCGACAGCTGTGGCAGCGGGAACTTGTCCTTGGTGATGGCCGTCAGGGGCAGGCCGCTCTCAATGAAGGCGTCTGCTGCCGCGTTGATCTCGGCAATGTCCTCGTCTGTGAAGGCATACGTCCACTTGTCCGGGTTGTTCTTGTAGTCCTCTGGTTTCCAGACTGTTTGGCCCGTGATTTCTTTGGGGAACTTCTCATAGGGCTGGATGCAGGAATAGACGGGCTCCTGCTGGCCAGACGTCTTGAAGCCGTCGGGGAAGACGGCCTTGCTGACGGAGGGCTCGAGCCATGCGGCGTCGCTCTGGATGAGACCTGGTGCCATGGTGTTCAGTATGAATGGAGGCTTCTCAAGATTTCTGCGCAAGTGATGATCTTGAGTATGTTGGTGTGTAGTGAGGGACCTCGTCATCCATAAGTACTTCTGGACACACGCTCACGACCACACATACCAACCCAAAAGACACTCGGAGATGCTCAATCACACCTCTCCAAATCTCCGCACTCTCGATTGCGTGATCGACTTGCACGATGGATGCCCAGTCCTCCTATCGCATTGTCCCTTTCGCATGGAGTCCGTCGGCTGGAACTCGACAGCGTCGGCTGGAAGGCTCGGCAGCGTCGAGCCGCCAGCAAGCACAGGGATGCGCCATCCTGATTCCTGCATCGTCACTCTTCCCCACGAAAGCTGCCCATGGGGAAGCTGAAGCAGAATCCACCCGATCAATGCATGGTAATGGGCACTAGGGACCGGATTATTGGGTCGAGAGGGTGATTGCAACTGTCTTCTCCACTATCGCATCATCTGGTGAGATTGGCCCTCGGGAGGGTTGCTAGTCTGGCTGGCAGTGGCTGGACGACTACATGAGGCCTTGCCCTCGTCCTTCCAGTCGTGCCAGATTCTCTTTTACTCGCGACATCTGATTCCAGAACTTGTCCACGGTCCTTCCTCACCTTGGACGCAACAAAAGCCATCCACCACCGCCATGAAGCTCGACGACTGGAAGACGGTGACGGGGTACATGCTCTTCTGCTGCCTCACCTTCAACGCCGGCAACGTCCTCTTTGGCATGTACGTTTGCTGCAGCCGAGGGCCCACGTCCTGGTAGCTCGCATGTAATGTCGATCGCTGACTGACTGTGCCCGCAGCGATGTCGCATCCTTTGGTTCTCTGCAGGCGCTGCCTAGCTTCCTCAACCAGTTTGGCACGCTGCAGCCCGATGGCAGCTATGGCCTCTCCACAACGAGGAAAAGTCTGATGAACTCTGGTGAGTGCTTACATGACTATACCTTGACCGCAAGAACTGACGTGGCTAGTCAACTGGACGGGCAAGCTCGTCGGATGCGCCGTCTTTGAGCCCTTGCTCAAGAGGGTTGGCTTCAAGAAGACCATCTATGTGCTTTCCGTCATTCAGATCGTCGCCGTCGTCCGTGAGTTCAACTTCTGAACCTTTTCATGTCTCAAGTCCTTGCTAAAATCCACAAGTCGAGGTCACCTCCAAGTCTTGGATCCAGTTCTGCATCGGACGCGTGCTCGCCTACCTTGCCGTTGGCATCGTCGAGCCCACCATCCCGACATACCAGGCAGAGCTCGCCCCAGCCCCTCTGCGTGGCTTCTTTGCAGGCAACGTCCAGGTGCTTGTGCATCTGGGCAGCATCTGGGGCGCTGGCATGAGCCGCGCATTCGCCAACGAAGAGGGCCCCAAGGGATGGATGATCCCAGTTGCTGTCCAGATGATTCCTGCCGTCATGCTGCTGATCGGCGTGCCCTTTTGCATCGAATCGCCCAGGTGGCTTATTGCCAACGGCCGAAAGGTGAGCTTGCATGCTTCGCTATTTACTCAGGAGGTGCAGCCACTGACGAGTACAGGACGAAGCCATTGCCAGCTTGAACCGCATCCGACCAGCCAGGGACCGGGAGAATGGCAGCACCACGCTCGAAGCCGAGGCGTGGGAGCAAGCCATTGAGGAGAGCAAGCTGCAGACCCAAGGATCGTGGAAGGACCTCTTCAGCAAGACGTACTACAACCGGACCATTGTCGTCGGCGTGGTCTTCTTCTTCAACCAGGTCACCGGCCAGCAGTTTGCCAACTCCTACGGACCTTCGTAAGTCCAGACAGCCTCTCCCCTTTTTCTACAAGAGCCAGCCTGACTGACAACCCCCAGGTTCTTCCGCTCCATGGGCCTCCCCTCCAACCAACTCTTCACCTACTCCATTCTCATCCCCCTCGCCGGCCTCGTGGGCTGCCTGGTCGCCGTGGCCACGACGGACACGATTGGCCGGCGCACGCTCTGCTACATTGGCGCCGCGCTTGCCACGATGTTCAACGCGCTCATCGGCGCCATCGGCTCGCGACCAGGAGCCTACGAGAGCGCGTCCGACTCCAACACGGTCGTCGCGTCCGTCATTCTGCTCAACGGTGTCTGTAAACTCGGCGTCGCGAGCCAGTGCTGGCTCATCGGCTCAGAGATAGGCGGCACGCAGATGCGCAACAAGATGATGGGATTTGGCGTCGTGATCGACGTCTTTGCCGCCTTTCTCGTCACCTTCTTCACGCCCTACCTGCAGAACGGTCCGCAGATCCAGCTCGGCGCGCGCGTCGGGTACATCTTCATGGGTCTGGCGGCAACGGCCTTTTTCTTCTTTGTCTTCTTCACGCCCGAGCTCAAGGGGCGGTCGCTTGAGGAGGTGGACGAGCTGTTTGAGCGCAAGCTCTGGCCCTGGCAGTTTAGCAAGGCGCAGACGCACGGTGTCGGTGCGAGGATTGCGGCGATGGAGGGTGGGTTGGACAGAAAGGACACGCCTCCGTTTGGGATGCACGACGAGGGCGATATGGTCGAGCCGACCAAGGAAGCTGGTGTAAGTCGAGTCTCTGGGTGAGTCCTTTCTTGACACGGCTCTGACGCGGATCAAGGTCCAGGTTCGAGGCGATTAGGCGAGTATGGATGGACCAAATGGTGCTGATAACAGTGGCTCGAGGTTCAACAGCACGATGTCGTCTTTCCGTCCCGTCAACTGGCTTCACCCTTACTTCAGACCAATATGAGCTAGGCGCTGGATCACAGCTGTGCGTACAAGTACATGTACTATTTTCCAATGGAGTGCAAGTTGGTCGGTGCCATGGCTGCAGTCGTATGACCTTCGCGCAGAGCACCAAGACCCCGTTGGGGCCTGAGATTCCACAGTGATGTCTTTATTGTCCACGTGTGTCCTGGCTGGTATTGGCGAAGACTGGATGCTGGGTGTTCCGTCACCACGCGCACATGCTACACCTTATAGCCCATCTTCTGATTGTTCTCGAGTATCGTTCCTCGGCGAGGTAATCCCACTCAGGGAGCTGTGCGGTGCCGCAGGTGAAGATGCACCTAGACCCCTGGGGGCCCTTGGCATTCACCGTATTTCCAGAGTCGGATCCCTCGATTCCCTCCTTGGCGGTTCTCGATTGTTCTTGATAGTTTCTCCTGGCGGACTCTGCATTCTTAACTTCTTCATATCATCCGTCTTATTTGCGGCTTTGATTCGATCCGGAAGCGCCGTCGATACTGACTGGACCCTACTCGCCTGCAACGCGCGCCAATATCCATCACTCAGCAGCAACCCCGTTCGTGGGCCGTCATTATGCATCCCACAATTCATAACATTGCTCTCATGTCCCTCTGCCTGGCCGCGACGGCCGCGGCTACACAAGCCCTGGAATTCGATTGGCCTGATCCGAGCAAGAAACTCAATCTATCCGCCCGATTGAGGACTTTGGCACTCCAGTTCCCTTCACCCCTATATCAACTTGTCAGCCCGCGAAACTTCGCCGACTAACATTAGAAGCGCGTCGGCCGGATCGCCTGGAGTCGCGTATTTTACAGAGCAGTCACAGGACTCCGGTCCCTGTGGCCCGCTCATTCTCAGCCACGCGGGCCGGCACCGCCAACCCACGCGCCTGGGACGGGTGGGTCCAGTTCAGACAGTCGCCGACTGGACTCGACTGGCCTCGCCGACCTTTGCGCACCTGCCCGGCCTTTCATCCAGATCATCATCGCGTCGGCAGGCTCGAGAAGACAGCTGCTGCTGCAATTCCATTGCTCAATTCCAACACGAAACAATCCATGAGTGCTTCATTCACCCCTACGTCAACTTGTCAGCCCGCTGGTTCGCTCCTCTCTCATCACTATCAGACGCCGGACTGCGCTCCGATCCACGTCCGAGAATTTCTCCTCTAGGCGATAGCCAACACCGCGTCAAGCCCTGGTCTTCGGAGCTGCATCGAAAACGTGGGGAAGCCGTCCAAGCCAAGTCACAGCACTGCATCTCTTGCTCTTCAATCTCGACATTGCAACTCATTCTCCTCTTGTTCCTCCTTCCTTTTTTTCCCTTCGCTTCCTCTCGGAAAGGCAAGGTTGCACACGGCACGCTGCGTGCGCGGACAAGGTCACGAGCACCGTGTCTGAAGTGATTACCTAACAAATCCCAGCCGAGCCGTGCTTCGATTGGAGGCCCCAAGATTTCTGTGGGGTCGAATCTCCAATCCGCACCGGGACTGCAGCAATCAACAAGGTCCTGTCCCAGTCCCAGACTCACTCCTGATATCACTTCACCTACGAGGATTATCTATCCATCTGCTGTCGCTTCAACCATTAATTACAACCTGTCCTGCCCGTCTTTGATAGCCAGACGTCTCTTGGCTCTGTGCGAAGCCTCTCGACAACTGTCCTCGCCTCTACCTCCACAGTCGTCACCCAACGCTCACTTGCTTCTCACTTCACATCTCCCATCCCCAAACACAGCCGGATCGGACATCAACAGCGCCTCGCCACACCATCGCGATGGCACACCATGTGTCATCGCAGCTCAGCAGGCAGCTCCTGCGAGCAGCAGCAAGACAGCCCACCTCGACCTGGTCATGCACTGCGCGCTGCTCTCTCGCGCACCAACGTCAACGCCAAGCAGCATCAGCCTCAGCATCTTCAGTTCGTTGCTTCATGACAACACCCGCAACTCACTCGAAACTTCCCCAAGACTCGTCGCAGACCTCCTCAAACTCATCACAACGGCCAGAGGGCTCTGCGCGATCATCACCCAAAAGTTCCAATCCCAATCCCAAACACAGGCGCACAGCGCTGCTCGCGGCTAGCAGCGGCGTTCTCGCCTTGGCGCTGGCCTTTGTCGAGCCTGTGCCCTCGCAGCAAAACACAGAGCCTCGCCAACAACATGAAGCGTCAGTCAAGGAACCCCAAGAGCCGTCACAGACGCCTGCAGAACCAGAGGACCAGAAGAATACCGACACCGGACTGCCATTCTTCCGACTCGCAGAGGTCAAGGAGCATGGCCCCAAGTCGGAACGACCATGGGTCACCTACAAGGGCAAGATCTACGATATCACCGACTGGATCCCGGCGCATCCTGGAGGTGAGGTCATCCTACGCGCTGCTGGATCAGACATTGAGCCATACTGGAACATTTTTGCCATCCACAAATCCCAGTACGTCCTCGACATCCTGGAGTCCTACTGCATCGGCCACGTCCACCCAGACGACCTCGCCAACGGCCAGGCCAGCGTGGAGGACCCGTTCCTGACAGACCCCGAACGCGACGCCCGTCTGCGCTTCCTCACGCAGAAGCCCTGCAACGCAGAGACGCCCGCCGACGAGCTGGCCGACTCCTTCTTCACGCCCAACGACACCTTCTATGTCCGCAACCACATGTGGGTGCCCGTCATCGACAACGCCCCCGACTATGAGATCTCCGTCGAGCTGCCCGATGGCGAGGTCAAGAAGTACACCATTGCCGAGCTGCAGACCCGGTTCAAGCAGCACGCCGTCACCGCCGTGCTGCAGTGCTCCGGCAACCGGCGGCGCGACATGACCGAGCACGCCAAGAAGACCAACGGCCTGCAGTGGTCTGTCGGCGCCATCTCCTGCGCCAAGTGGGAGGGCGTGCTGCTGCGCGACGTGCTGCGCGACGCGGGCGTGTCCTTTGAGCCCGACCCGGACATCCAGCACGTCCAGTTCTCCGGCGACGAGGCCTACGGCGCCAGCATCCCCATCGAGTCCGCCATCGACCCCCGCGGTGACGTCCTCCTCGCCTTCCGGATGAACGACCAGCCCCTGCCCCGCGACCACGGCTTCCCCGTCCGCGTCATCGTCCCCGGCCACGTCGCCGCCCGCTGCGTCAAGTGGCTCAAGAAGATTGTCATCAGCGACGAGGAGTCCCAGACGAGCTGGCAGCGCCGCGACTACAAGTGTTTCGGCCCCAACGAGACCAAGCAGGACTGGGACAAGTACAAGTCCATCCAGAAGATGCCCATCACCAGCGCCATCACCCGCACCAAGATGCGCCAGCCCGAGCAGGGCGAGCCCATGGTCTCCCTCGAGGGCTACGCCTACTCGGGCGGCGGCCGCGAGATCCAGCGCGTCGACGTCAGCCTCGACGGCGGCCACACCTGGGACCAGGCCCGCCTGCTGCAGGACGACATGAAGCTCGAGCAGGGCCACCAGGCTTGGTGCTGGAAGCGCTGGCGCTACGAGGGCCACCTGCCCGCCGAGAAGGAGGTGGCCGACGCCGAGAAGCACAACAAGGAGCGCAAAGCCACATTTGTGGTCAAGGCCACGGATGATGCGTACAATACCCAGCCCCAGACGTACGAGAGCATCTACAACCTGCGCGGCAACCTCGCCACGGCCTGGCACAGGGTCGATTACGAGGTCAAGGACGAGGGGAAGCATAGCAAGGCCGTGGTGAAGACCAAGACGGCATGATATACTAGAGATTGTGTGAGAAGAGTGGGGCGCAATTTGGTTTGGCAGCATTGTTGGCATCATTGCAGCGTTTGTGCGTTTTGTTTTTTGGCTATAAGCATTCTGACAACATAATTCATTCATCATTCATCATATCCTAAACTACTACCATCGCCATCCATAGTCTTCGAGCATACGTCTCTGCTCACCCCTGGTAGACCTCGGGTCCAGGGATCTGGTAGACGGGGTTGGACTCGTCGTTGTAGATGTTGTACAAGATACCAGGGTCGTCGCTCCTGTACAGCTCCGTGCCAAGGACACCCTCCGGGTTGTCGGAGCCTCCGCCGGTGATCACGAGGTTGATGCACTGCGGGTACATCTGCGTCAGACCCTCCGCGTAGCCCTGGTGCAGCGCAATCTGCTCATGGCGCAGGACGTAGCTGCCCGGGGCGATGCTATCGGGGATGGTGACCTTCCACACGAAGCCTGGCGTCCCGTCAGCAATCATCTCACAAGCAAAAGGAAAGATCCGCTACTCACCATCGTCAATGAACTTGTCGGACGCCCAGTAGCCCGGCGTGCCGCCACCGGCCCCGAGCTCGAGCTGGCCCATCTCATCAATCTTGAAGAACTTGAGCGTCGTCTTGTCGACGGTCGTGCAGTCCCCGTTGCAGTTGGCGAGGTAATCGACGACGGGCCCGTGGTGGCTATCGGGCCAGCCCGTCCACTGCAGGGTGATCTCGCTGCCGGCCGCCACCGTCGCCGTCAGGGGCGCGTTCTTGGCGTCGAGGTGGCAGATAATGTCCGGGTCCTGCATTGACGACGACGGCACGAAGCCCGTGTCCGTCGCCCAGTTCTGCCACCCGATGGAGTCCTGCTCCGCTTGCCAGGGCGCGATCGTCGGGTTGTACCCGACGTACGATTTGCCGTCGATGATGATCTGGTTCACGTAGCCGTGGGCAGATACGCCGGCGGCGCCAGCCAGGGCGGCGAGGATGGTGGTGGTCGTGTAGGGGGCCATTCTTCTGTTGTCCTCGCGAGATGGGTATGTCAGGACTGACCGACAGTGTAATTCGATCGAGAGGAAAAACTATTTATATAGATAGAGTATGCGAGCGAACGGAGGGTAAGCTGGGCGGTATGTAGTTGTATCAAGGACCGGACATGGCTTTATAGCCCCTTGGGGAGTACACTTGTCAATCATGGATGCCGCCTCATGCCAATCTCGCTTCCACTTGGCCAAATGCGGTCCTCTGGCTGTTTCAAAATGCTGCTTGGGTGTCCAAAGTACGACCAGACTCTGGGGATGCGCCGCTTGGCGATGGCAGCTTGAGGGTGGTATCGACACCGACTCGGAGTATCAGGCTCCGCCTCCCTTCTCAGCGCTCTGTGTCAGGACAGATCTATCAAGAACTGCCGGCACTTTATGAGACTGGATGTGTCTGCTGGTGCTACCCTTTGTACCGCGCCAGTCTGGGGTTTGGTCCATTGAAGCACCCGAAGCTCAAGCTCATGGGGCAACGGAGACGCCGCCGCGTCCAGCAGTTCCCACACCATGCACTTGAGAAACCTGCAGCTAACGGCTGGTACCGGCGTCAAAACACTTTAAATACCACGACCGATCGGGAAAGAGGGTGGGAAAGAGAGCCAATTGAATGCGGTGGGATGCTGAGCACCTTGGCCGTCAGCTTGGGTCACTGGAGCAGATCATGGTCTTTACCCCTGCAACATAGGGAACATTCCGAATGGCGATGCCACATATCGAACTTGAGATTGCGGAGGGGGCCCTCCGCGCTTATTCGAATCAAGCCGGCGCCGCATGCGCATGCCCTGAGCCGTCAGTTGGGTCACTTCCAGTCGCTCTTGGCGTTGAAGCTGCTTCCCCGGACAATGGAGCGCTTCACGGTGACTCCCCCTTCTGGACCACCAAGACCTGCCATTCAACGGAGTGCTTGCCGGCTGCCCGTGTGCAGAGTGCCTCTAGAGACCACACCAGTGGGTGAAGAATCTCTCTGCCATCGGACCATGCATTTGATGGCCCTCATCGACATATCTCATGAGCGGTGTGATTATGAACCGGCTCTTGCAGCCTCTCGCTATACCTGGGACCGCCATGGGCTTTCTGCACGCAGGGAGTCCTCCTCAAAGACGTCCAGTGCCACGCCGTGATCGCCCCCTCGAGCAGAGCAGCCCGATCGACCAGCGCGCCCCATGAACTGTTCACCAGCGGGGCAGAATTCTTGGTCGTGGCAAGCTGCTTTGCGCCGACCACGTCACAGGTATACTTAGCAGCAGAATGACTCGCAGGGACTACGATTCCTAGCTTTCATGCCGTCTCCAAGTCGAGGATCTCAAATTGCGTGTTTGCGCCCAGTGGGGGCTTCAAGTCGGGCATCTGAGGTAAGAGTTCGCCCGAGAACGACGTACGCTCCCGCATGGTCGATGTGATGTACTGATTATACATCTGCCGCTGTCGTCGTTCGAGGTAGATGATCACCACGGATCAAAACTTGCAGACCTGGTGGCCGGGGAGACCAGAAGTATATAACAGAGATCTCGAGGTAGTCGTCCATAGGACCATAGGTACGCCACGCAATTCTCAAGATATGTTGCAAGCCTCTGGTATGTATTATGGGACATTGTGTGGTGCCGCTTCCCGATAATTCGGGTATTGTCCAGTCTGGTTTCCTGAGTCAGAGGAAGAGTCCATCACGATCATAAGCCGCGTATAGAAACACAGGTGCAGTAAACGACCCCAGGATCCGTGGTACTGGCATGACTTGGCTCAGCTGGCCTCAGCCTGCTCCGAGCGACCAACGCAATCCATCACAACAGATTTTTTTCAAGATCTGTAGGGAGACATGTGTCAAAGGTGACATTTAATTCGTAATTTGGCAACGCTGTGGCACGCACAAAGACCGCACGCGTGGAACCTTTGGCAGGTCCAGTCACTGACGATTCATTCCTGACTTCTCAGGCTGTCTACCCGCAGCACCTAATGCTGCCGAGGTATATTGGCCGCCGCGCGAAAGATGCATGGCGAAAAGGCCAAAAACCGAGGACGTGGAATGTAATTGATTCTCGCCGCGAGCTCGTGATACCTTCAGCGTGGAGGGTGACGATGAGGAATCGCGGCCCTGCGACTGGCCGATGGCCCCGCTTATTTGCTTACATAACTCGGTCTGTCCGTCCGCCCGCAAAACACCTCGAGCTGCTGCACGACGACGACTTCATCATCGCCCGATCCAACCTCCGACGACATCCACGACCGGCGCTAATCGCACTCAATCGACTGCCGGGAGCATCGACCACCTCACATCGATCAATTGACGCGCCTGCTCGATCGCATCCCACCCCAAACCCGCCCATCATGCCTCAGGACATGCCCCCTCGGGGCGGGTACGAACCCGTCCAATTCAAGGTGCGACGACGCAATCGCTCCAAGCGAACGAGCAGACGCGAGACACGGAAAGACAGAAGCTGACATTTGCGCAGCGCAACCTGCCCGCCAAGGGCTTCCGCCCCGGTGTTCTGCTGCTGGGCATGGGCGCCGTCATGACCTACGGATGGTACAGGCTCACAGTCGGCATGCGCGAGCTGAAGTACGTCAAGTTCCCCGAGGCTTCATGAGCATGGCGCTGACTCTCCCTCCACAGTGAACTCCGCCGCGAGAAGGTGTGGTCTCGCATCTACCTCACCCCTCTCCTCCAGGCCGAGGAGGACCGCGACCAGGTCCGCCGATACTGGGCCGACCAGGCGCGCGAGAAGGAGCTCTTGGGCGAGAACAGCAAGGTTTACAGCACAGACAGGCAGGTGACCTCCTATACTGCCAGATCCAGTGACATCAGGCCTCTGGCAGGGCAGACATGGCTGGAACCCATGCTAACCAGGGAACAGGTTCGTCCGGCCGACGTACGCAGTGGCACCGAGCACGACTGCCAACGGGAAGGAGTAGAGAAATGGGTAGAGAACTGTACATATGCAAACTGTCTTTTCTTAGAGTCCAAGGGAATACCAAACCATTACTTCACAACACATCTACGTGTGCATCCTCTCACCAGAACAGCATTTACACAGCCAGTCGTCGCTCATGGCGCCTGCAGGCCTACCTCACGCTCCGTCCACTCCCACAGCTCCGTCATAAGCTTCTCATCGAAACAGCTCTTGGTACCAGCGGACGCCTTTCCGACAGGTTCGAAAAACGCCGTCTTGCCCTCGTCCAGCCTCTCTCGCACATCTTTCGCCGTGGCCGCCCAGACCGTATTCACCGCGCCCTCCTCCTGGGTCAGGAGGTGAGGGTTGGTAACCCTAACTAGCAGCCATTTCGCCCAGCTGAGCTCCGTGACAAGCTCCGTATTGACAACGCCGGGATGGATCGCCAGCGAGGTGATGCTCGGGTACCGCTTGCCCAGCTGACGCGCGAACAGGATGTTGGCGAGTTTCGACTGACCATAGCGTCCCCACGAGCCCATAACCATGCCTTCTTGCGCCGTCTTGATCGTCTCAAAGTCAACGCCTTGCTTTGGATGGCCCCGGTAGCCTAGACTTGTCAGGGCAACGAAACGGACGTCTGCGCCGGGTATCTCTGCAGTCTTGAGCATCAGAGGTAGGACGCGCAATGTGAGGGCAACGTTGCCGACGTGATTAGTAGCAAACTGAATCTCGTAGCCATCGTCGCTGACACCGGCCGGGACGGCCATGATACCCGCGTTGGCAATGACGATATCGAGTCTGTCCGTCTGCTGGATGATCTTATCCGCGGCCGTCTTGACACTGGCGAGGGAGTCGAGGGAGCATGGCACGAATGTGGCAACAGATGGGTCCGGAAGCGAGGCAATGAGACGTTCTGCGGCCTGCGTGTTGCGGCCCGTGAAGAAGATCTTTTGAGGGTCGTGCTTGGCAAGGTGCTCGATGGCTGCTTTGCCGACTCCACCGGTTCCTCGAGGCTGTCAGAGCATATTCAATGATAGTTGGAGTTCTAGACATTCATACCCCCCGTGATCAGGATGACCTTGCCTCCCAGGGACGGGACATCGCGGGTCGTGTCAAACCCCTTGAAAATAGTCATAATGGTAGAAAGAGTGGGATCAAATCTGGAGACAGATCAAAGTGATGATGTATTGGGTGCTGAAGACAATTGATTGTCTTCCATCCTAGCCTCCCAGGACCAGAGGGCTCCGGCCTTCTTATACTCGCATCAGCAGTCTTTGCTTCGGACGAAGATAGACAAGTCCACTTGGTCTTCGTCCAAGTCCGCAAACTCCTCTCATAAGAAACGGTTGTGCTCCGGACGAGAAGACATCGCAGAGCCCGGTCGGCCGTCCAGCGTCGTCCGGAGAGCTCCTTTCTCTGCACCGTCGTCCGGCCCTTTGTGGGGAGCCGGACCGAAATGTTAACAGCGTCTATCACTTCATAGGTGTAGAGGCCACATGTTAATGTTAGCGGCTGTTAGCACATGCGCTCGGCCACTCGGCGGCTTCATCCGGGTCTCGTCCGAATCACTGGGGAGCCTTCGCCCGAGCTGAGCTTCTGAAGCGGACTTGATGAACAGTTTAAGCATCCAAAACCTTCATCATGGCGGAATTTCAATTTCACAGGCGAGTCCACGACTGCACGAAACAGCAAGCAAGCAATCAGGGTATTCACAATGCCGCCTAGACTGCCACACAAAGAAACCAAGGCCATATCCATCCCGCAAACGCACTGATGTACAATACAGACTGAAACAATCAGTCCTGAAAACGCCGGACGAGCATGTCTGTATGTGCCCAAAGCAGCAGATGTTGAAAACAATCCTCACGCCAAGCTCCAATGTGCACGCGCCGCTCTGTCTTTGGTCTGCGTCTCTGCCTCTCCGCCGCCTGCGCCTCTTCCATCCCTTATCGCTCGCGGAACCATCCAAGACGCCGCAGCCTAGTCATCGTCCTCGGCTTCCTCAAACGCAGCCTCCATATCCCTCTCGAGCTCATCCTCGTCGAAATCAATCTCCTCGTCGCCCCGGTCCAGGTTGACGACGTCGCCTCCATTCGTCCCAGGGGTGGGCAACATGGTGCTGTCGTCGCCGGCGTCCGGCCCCGTCCCGTTCTCGACAATGACGGCCTCGGACCGTAACCCAGATGGCCGACTTCTTGCGATGCGCTGCTTCTTGGCCATGACGCTCTCCCGATCCGACTCGCCATCTGTGTCTTCGCCACTCGGCTTCTTCCGCTTCGTACGGGTAGGCACTGTGGTCGAGGCGCCGTTGTTGGCGCCTCCCTCGGTTTCCTGGGATGAGTTGAGACCGCCGTCGCTGGCTCGACTGCTCCTATCATCGTCTGTTTCACTAGCCTCCTCCTCCTCCTCCTCGTCGGTGGAGGTGTTCATGTCACCAAAGTCCTCATCGGAATCGAGATCGAGTAATTTCCGGAACTCTTCGTCGTCCATATCATCATCGTCACCCAGGTCCAGCTCGCCCGTCGGGTCGTCCTCGGCCGGTGTGCCATCTCTGGATACACTACCAGAGCCAGCCTCGCCCTGCTTGCGCCTGCGCTCGGCTTCTTCCCTTCTCAGGGATTCCACAGATACGAAGTAGGCACTTTCGTCGAGTCTCCGCCATTGACTCAGACAATCCAGCAACCAGCTTTGGCTGACAATGCGTACCGATCGTAACCTGACCGCTTGTCGAACCTTCTCCGACCGCTCGTGGGTGGGCGACACGACAAGGTGGGTGATCCTCTTGGACACCTCATCCACGACCTGCGCGCCAAAGGCCTGGGCTTGCTGGCCGATTTCGGAATACTCCACACGGCCTCCCTTAACCAGCCCGGATGTGGCGATCACCAAGCCCTCGAGGACGCTCTGCTTTAGGTTCTCCAGTATGTCTCCAACGTCCGGCACGAGTGAGAGATCGACACCCGTGTCGTTTGACGGGCGGCGGACCTTGGTTTCGCCAGGCTTGTGTTGTGGTGCTTGTCCGGATTTGCGCTGCCTCCGCCGCTTGTCGTATAGGGCGTAAAAGGCCTTGTGGACATCTGTCAAGTGATCCTGGAGCGCAATAAGCTCCTCGTCATCATCCGTCAGGAGTATATGCCTCTTCGGCTCCTCCCCCTGTGCTTCGTCTTCCTTCTCTAGCTCCTCCTGCATATGCAGGAGCGGGCGATCCTCTACTTGTTGCTGTAGATCTTTTTCCTGCTCCTCTGCCTGCTCCTTAAGCTTCTCCTCGTCATCCTTGAGTCGCATCGCGAGAACTGCCTTATCTGCGTCAGGGGCAGTGGGCGGCTGTGCTTCGGTGGTTGCTTGGCCCGTTGGGGCTGCTGATCCATTCGCTTCCGGCAGAGCCGCAGGCACGGCTTCCTTAGTCGCAGGAGGCAGGAAGTTCGAGTTGATATCGCCAATGCCTTTGAAGAATGCATACGGTACCACTTTGATCAGATTCGGCCTGTTGTACGGCCACACATCGGAGCGATCGTCGATGATGACGACCATGTTTGTGCTCACAGGGAAGATCCGTTGCAGTGATTTGGCGTGCATGCTGCCACTCTCCGTTCGCGTGATGATGCGCTGCCCAAAGAGCGTGTGGTCGGGGTCGATCAGCGCCACAATGTTCTCCGCATACGACCTGGTGCCCATTGTGTACACGTGCAGCTCGTACATCTCACTCACCTCTGCGAGGAAGTCGCTCAAGCCTGGTCGCATTTTGACATGGTATACCAGGTCATGGGTTTCTGTGAGCGTGAATGCTTTGGTCTTGCAGACGGCTTCGTAGTTTGGGTTAGAAGGGTCCGCTTTCCATTCCGCGACTGTGCGGTCCACGCAGGCGTGAATGACCGTCTGATCGAGATCAACCACCAGGCTGAGCTTGCGTTGCGATAGCAGCCTTTTCTGTGCAGAGTATTCATTGCTCATCGCAATCTCGTTGCTGACGACGAGTCCCACGTTGTCATGGACCATGTTCACGTTGGCGCGGTCTGTATCCCGTTCCTCAGCCGTCGCGAAATTGACCTCGGTCATGTCCTTTCCGCACTTGGCGCACATGTTACCCAATTGCACGTCGTGGGGGCACGCCTCCTCAATGGCCATGTATGGCTGCGGGGCCTTGACGACCTCGCCCTCCTCAATCTTCCATTCTCGAAGGGTGCCCTCGGCGGGTGACTCAAAGTCAGCGTACGAGGTCTCTTCTTTGAATCTGCCTTCCTCAATCTCCCGCTGCCAGTTGAACTTGTACTCGAACACAACCTGTCTGGCTTCGATCGCATCGCCGGGTTTCTTCAGTAGTCGGGTGATGGTGACAGGGTAGTGGAGGCGCGTGCCCATGTGGACGACTCGGACGTCCCCCATCTTGGGCGCTGTCGGGTGGCAATCTGGCCGGCAGTCAGTCAATCAGTCAAGCACAGCAGTTGAGACGCGAATGCCGCACCAGCAAGCTTCCCCGTTCGCGATCCGTCTCGGTGGGCGAGGTGGACTCTGGCCCATGGCCCTGGGAAGCGCAATAGTCTTGCTGCGGGTTTTCAGACAGGGGCGAGGAATTCTCGAGTTTGTGTCATCCACTCGAGTAAAACGTCGACTCTGGCTCTGAAGCTGATAGGAAATAGCGCGATGATGTACGTAGCAAGCTGGACTGGAGGCTCAGCTGTAGCAGAGCTCAGGCGCCGGCGCGGGCAAACGCCAGGTCACGTGTTTTGGGGAAGTGGGTCCAGTCGTGTCGTGATGTTTGCGACAAGGTCCTGTCCTGTGGTCGCAGAATGATTGCTTCGTATCTTGCAGAGGAAGGTGGTACAGTGTACATGTGTTGCGCAGCAGTATCAGATAGTCTGCAGATGCCGTTCCTGCGTTCGGTTTGTTGTCTCAGGCGAGCCGATGCACGGGGTGGTCTTTTTGCGAAACTGATTCGAGAGAACTGACGCCAGCAATGCCGCTCCGTCATAAGCGTCGCGGCGCACTTCCAGGTGGGCAACCCCCGCCCTTTTGTACCCATCGCCGCCCCGTCGTCACCCCTGCGTCGGGGCCGGTACTTGCGGCGTTGCAGTGCGATCCACCAGAGCTTCGGGTACCGGGCACTGGCCAACAAGCTTCATCAGCCTTCATGTTGGCTACGGCCCACGAACACAGATAGTACTGCAACTGACTAGTCTAGTGCGCTTGATGGAGGCTGGCTGGTCATTGAGAGTACCAGCGTCTGCTATTGTCGTGCACCGACCATGAAAGCAAGGACCTTTCTGTGGCAGGTGAGTTGGGGAACGTGTACGTAGTACAGCCGCATCATCCCAAGAATATCTTGCTTGGGCTTGCGCAGGGCGGATGGTCTTTGTTGGGAAAAAGTCGTTGAAACCATTGCTTTGTCTACACACGTACCATATTTGCGCAGTTGTGAACAGACCGGCGCTTCGTGGTCAAGTGGGACCAGTGTAACTCTGCATTGCCTTACCCTATGCTCAACGTCGTGATCCCATACTAGAACTAGTTAATGGATCAATGATATGCAAGTCATCAAAGGTTCTCATGATGGAGTCGTCAATTAATTCTCGCATGTACATCATTCATAATCAATGCAGAGTGGTATCCCAAAGACCAGCCATGCCCCCATGCACACTCGCTACCATGACCATACGCACATTTGTACTCATGTGCACGTGTTCGACCGTCGCGTTAACCCACAGCCTGCACCACCTTGAAACCCTCAGACACGACTTTAGCAATATCCTCGTTCTTGTGCGGGAGAAGGCCGAGGGCAAAGGCGACGTCGTTCCACTGGCGCTCTGTCTCGCAGCGTGCAAGTCGAGCAGCCAGCTTCTCCGATAGCTGTTTCGCGTGCTTGTCCTGTCTCAAGTTAGCTATGTGCCCGTCAAAGTGCACTTCTGCGGGGACTGGACTGACCTTGTTGACGAACCCAAGAAGAAAGCGCACAATCTTCTTGAAGCTCTCCTCCTCCATCCTCCCTCCACTGAGCAGACTAAACATGTCCACAAAGTGGTTGTATACGGCATTGTCTTTCGTACTGAGCTCGGTGAAGAACATGCGCGCCAGATCTGCAATGCGGCGATCCTCATCCTCCAGGCACTTGGCCATCTCGCCGAGCTGCCCCTTGACCTTGACTTGACCCGCCAGGATCAAGAATGTCAAGGTCATGAGACACGTCCTCTTCACAGAGGCATCGTCGTCGGCCAGACGGCGGTACAGAAAGTCCGTGTTCTCATCGATGAGGTGGTTGAAGCTGACAGCCATGTCACCAAGCGCAATGACAGCATTCGAACGAACAATGGCGTCAGGGGAGCGCTCCATGATGGTGATGAGCAGGGGCAAGTTGGTTTCGCAGTACTCGGCGGAGACACACATGAGCTTCGCCAAACACAGCGTCGCAGCAGCCTGCAGTCCTTTGTCGGCATATGTCGTGTTGTTGGCGCAGATCTCCGAGACGAGAGGGCCGAAAAGACTCAGCAACGAGCTTGGCCCGTAGAGCAGCTCACGCTCGCGAATGTGCGTCATCGCTTCAGTGAAGTCGTCTTCAGATGTGCCACCGATCAGATCCAGCTCGTTGGCCTCTTCCTTGTCCTTCTCGTCTTTGCTCCCTGCAAGCTTCTCCTTCTCCTGCTTCCGACGCTTGAAGTCGAGCTCGCAAAGTTCGAGGTGGACAATTTGCTTGATGGCAACATGTCCGACAATGAACAGCAACTGTGACAAGCTAATCGCATTATCGCGATTCTTTGGTCGGTCGAGCTGTGCCCCTAGTTGGGTAACAGTCGGGTCGGAGAGGTGAGGATCCAGAGTTTGGGTCATTTGCTGTGTCAACTGCACAGTTTCGTCCCTCGAAGCCGGTCTCGATTGCGACTGGCCGAATACTGTCCTCGTCTTCCGGCGGATCACCTCAGAACAGAGCCCGTCGGGGTGCTTCGCCACAGCATATATCGCGCTGATGGCCTGCTCCGCCAGGCCGTACCACTCCTTACTATCAGACTGTACCTCTGTAATGGCAGCCAGCCTTTGGCAGACAGCATGGTCATTTGGCAATCGCGCGAACTTAACGGGCGAATCTTTGGCTGAACGACCTGTAGGGTTGATTCTTCGGAGGGCAATACACGTGTACTTGGCCAGTTGCAGGTCGTTGCGGCCATGCATCGCCAGTCCAGTGCGCAGCATGGTCTCAATCTCGCCGATAACAATCTCTGGGTTAGCCGTAGCAAGCATGCCCAGGACGATGATGGCACCTCGGCGCTGAGTGCGCGAGATTTCCCTCTTCTGCACGCCATAGACCTGCCAGAGCTTGCCGATGACGACCTCAGAGATCATCTTCTCCTTCATCATGGTAGCAAGCAACTGCTCCAGGGAGGTCAGCTCCGCAGGCGTCGCGCCAAAAGTCAGACTGATCATGTTGCGGGCGATAAAGTTCGCGGCATCATTGGCGCTGAATTCCTCGGGGGCTTCGAAGAATAGTCGCTTGTAGCAGTCGATGAGATGTGTTTGCACGCCCTTGCCTTCGTCGCTGTTGGCCTTTGTCCAGATCAAGCGCAGCATGCGGCGAATGCCAAGTTTGTTCTGCTCGATATTATAGGCATCGCCGATTTCGAAGTAGTCGATGGCTTCGATGACCTCGCTCTTGTTCTTAGACCCAAGCAGTTGGCAAATGGTGCCTGTCGCTTCATGGAGGACCTCGATGAATTTGAGCGCCTCCACATAGTATCGCCGGGTCAAGGTCAGCTTTTCTATAGCCTCGCTGGTTGCAGCTTCTTCTTGGGCTTTCTTGACGATGGCAATTTTCTCCTCGTCCGTCATAGTCTTTGGTTTCTGTGGCGACTCGATCTGGGTAGCCTCATCGAGGAGCTGAGTATCCACGGCGGATTGGTTGCCATTTTCGCCAGAAAGCCCAGGCACGTCTGGGGGAGGCTTCAGCGCGTTGATTTCTTCCTGGACCTTTTCGTACCGATCTCGCCATTCCTTCTGGTTGAGGCGAGCACCATGCATGACCGTGAACGGGTGCGTTTTGATCAGAGTTCCAAGTAGCTTGATTGCGTTTCGTCGCACGTTACTGCTCTTGTCGGAAAGACTGCGACAGGCCAGTTCAGCCGCCTTCTGACGTCGTTTAGGGAACTTTTGCTCCAGTTCACATAGCCGCATATAGACCTGAAGTACCCTGACGCGGGAGTACGGATTCACGTCGAGAAAGCGCTCCTCCAGGACGTCAAAAAAAGCATTGAGCTGGGTCTTGTGATTGTCGTTACGCTCATCCTGCTTCGTTAGGTAGGCAATCATGTTGCCACAGACCTCGATCAAGGCGCATCGCAAGGTATACGACTCGCTGTCGAGCTGCTTGGCCAGCATCGTCACTTGCTTAATCACCAGCCGTGGTGTCAGCTCAGAGAGCTTGGTGATGAACGTTGAGACAGATTTCGGGCCGCGTGTATCATTGGAGTTGAACTCCCGATTGCTGATTTCTCGAAGGACTTCGTCAGCAAGCTGAGGGTAGTCGTAGGTTTCAGCCAAAATGTGCAGAAACTCGGCCATGGGCTCTGACAAATGCTCAAAGTAGGTCAGATTTTGGATAACGTTGATTTGGGCAGCGTAGCCATGCCCATGGTGTTTGACAGCCACGCAGAGCACCTTGAAGCAATGCATCCGGATGTTCGTGTTCTTGGTCCGCTGCTCGCTCTCCAAGATCATATACACGGGTCTTGTCAACAAGCCAATGAACGTGTCCCGCTCACTCGTCGTGAGAAAGATCTTGGATAGCTTTAGCTTCATGACCTTGCACATGATGTCGAGGGCTGCTTGAAGTTGCGCAGTCGAGTCCCATGAATCGTCTTTGGTCGCGCCTTTCTTAGCTTTCCCCCGTCCACGGGCTACAGGGGCGTTTGACGACTTCTCTGCCGCCTTTGTTTCCACAGCAGCGATCGTCCACTGTAACAAGAATCCGTATATCTCCAAGAGCTGTTTATGGTGCGGCAGGGCGCTTTCTTCGTCGGGGGAATCTAGGTCGCCATGTACTACATCGGATTCGGCACTCAAGCCACTCATGACCAGATCGAAGATCTTGCTGAGCGCGTGCGTCGGAAGAAAGGTTGTATACCTGGTAGATTCATCTTTGTGAGCTTGTTTCTCTTGTGCTATTTCGGGCTTCATTGTGTCTAGTTGTGTTTCCGAGATCGGACAGAGGGGAGATGTAGGGCTTAAGACATCAATGGAAGTGGGTGCTAACTTGAGTAGGAATTGTAAAGAGTCCATGTTGGACGCGCGCATAATCGCATCTGGGTTATCCGCAATGGCGTCGACAATGGGGTTGAGGATGGGATTGAGAAATCCCACATTTGATAGCGCCTCGGGGTCATTTTCGCAGTCGAATAGGGCACTCTCGGCTTCTGGTGTAGGAATGGCTGTCGGATCAGACATGTAGTCCTTGAGAGCATCGTTGATGTCGAAGCTGATGGTCGCCATGATGGCGGTTGGCGCAGCCGCAGGCGGTGCGCAAATATCCAGTAAACAACAGAATGAGAGGAAGGAAACCAGGTGCGCAAGGAGCGCGGAACCGAATTATCAAGTCGCAATGCCGTGATGGGCGCGAAAGAGGCCGCAGGAGGCGGTTATGGTCTGGTGGGAAGTGCCGCGTTGATCAACCCCAGCAACCGTGTTTATGTTTTGTTGCTAAACGCGCCTCCAAAAAACCCCCCCGCCATCGGTACTCCACCACTCAAAAGTCGCGTCAACCCACCCTTAATTGTTTGCTGGCTAGCGACTTTGAATTAGCGAATGTGGCCATACAACAACGACCATTAGGAGAAGCTCGTTGGCGTCAGTTGTTGAGGTCGTCGCAGCCTTTTTTTGTTCTCCTTCTGCGACATCAAGGATCAGCCCAGCCAGGTCAGGGTCGCGGCTGCCATGGCTACGACTATCACGACACCCAAGGCCTTCGCTATTCACGAGGATGATCCGTTTGCCACTGACTTGATTGACGAAGATGCCCAGTCGGCAGCCGAAGACGGAGCTGAAAATGGGGACGGGGACGGCAACGGCAACGAGGAAGCTGACGACGATGCGGAGGAGGACGAAGAAGAAGAAGAAGAGGAGAGCTCTGACGACGAGAACATCGACCGAGGCGTCGCCGCTGATATTGAGCGGCTGGAGCATGACTTCCCCAGCTTCGCCCGAAAATACCGCCTGATCAAACGCATAGGAGAAGGTACATTCTCCACTGTCTACAAGGCCGAGGACAAGCTGTACAACTACTACAACAACGACTGGAAAGAACAAATTGGCGGAGAACAATGGACGCCCCCACCAGTGAAGCGTCAACGAAACCAGCCACCCAAGAAACAATCACACTATGTTGCGATCAAGAAGATTTATGTGACGTCGTCACCGTCTCGCATCTTCAACGAGCTCGATCTCCTCAAAGATCTTCGGGACTGTCCGTCAGTGTGCCCACTGATCACGGCGTTCCGATCAACGGACCAAGTTATTGCGGTCCTCCCGTACTTTCGACACTCCGACTTCAGGACATACTTCAGGGACATGACCATTCCTGACATTGCAATCTACCTCCGGTCGCTGTTCACAGCGCTGAAAAGCTGCCATAAGCACCACATCCTGCACCGAGACATCAAGCCAACCAACTTTCTCTACGACCCAGCCACGCAGACAGGTGTGCTGGTAGACTTTGGCCTGGCTGAGAGGGAAGGCTCTGAAAGCAGGGCTTGCCTGTGCCATGAAGCCAAGGAACAGCGTAGGGCACGACAGTACGCCTCAGCGTATGCGCAGACCAATGGTCAGCCGGCTGCGGGCTATCCCAAGAACGACACCCGGCCATCTAGGCGGGCGAATCGTGCTGGTACGCGTGGCTTCCGTGCGCCAGAGGTGCTCTTCAAGTGCACGGAGCAAACCACAGCGATTGACATTTGGTCAGCCGGTGTCATTCTACTGACCATCTTGTCGAAACGCTTCCCATTCTTCAACTCGGCCGACGATGTGGAGGCCATGATTGAGATTGCCACCATATTCGGCGTAAAGAAGATGAGGGCTGCTGGACTGCTGCACGGCTGCGTCTTCGAGTCCAGCATCCCCACGGTGGGCTCGCAGGGCTTCACGCTCGAGAAGATCATCTTGTGGAGTACATGTCGAACAGACGACAAGCCACTGACGAGCGAAGAGAAGCTGGCCGTCAACTTCCTGGAGCGCTGCATGGATATGGACCCTAGCAGACGTATCACTGCCGAGAAAGCGTTGCAACACGACTTCCTACAGCTTGGGATGCCCACCCCGGAGCCAGGAGAGGATGACATGGAAATGTTAGGACCATAGGACGCGAACTAGGCCAAGGAACGATACCCTGCGGAGATAGCACTCTGATTAGACTTGCATTGGGCGGCGTTGACTGCTAGCAAATGGACATTTATTATTCACATCCTCCACCTTTGACCTCATATCTGTGAAGCGCAGCCGGCGTCTGTCTCCAGCAGTCACTGTCGACATGATCCACGGTAGGCAGTCATTCCGGCCTCTCGAAACCAAGCCGGTCCCGCATCGCAGTCTTGGGTGCGCGCAAGTGTGGTGTTTTTGAAAGTTGTTTTTGTCTTCGTTCATTCATTTCATTTCTGAAGAACCTTGAAAAAGGGGGAAGTTGTTGATATAAATCATTCCCACCCGAACTCCGCAAAATCGCCCACGATGTATGAGTGTCCCTTTTCCTGTCATTGCCAAATGCCCCCTTCTCTCTTGCAAAAAATGCTCTTTTTCATTTTCAAAAGAGAGAAAGTACCTTACGCCACCAGCTCAACAACACCGCCAGCATCAGAAATCTTCTTCTCAGCCAGCTTGCTCACCCAGCGTGCGCGGACAACCAGGGGAATTTCGGGGAGGCGGCCCTTGCCGAGGACCTTGGAGTAGCCGAGGGGAAGGAGGTCGAGGACGGGGACGGTGTCCTTCTTCTCGCCGGCAATGTAGGACTCGCGGGTCTCGGTGGGGACGAGGGACCAGAGCTATTCATCTTGTTAGTGACCCAATGTCGGCGGCGCGCGTGTGTGTCTCGGTCGGTCGTACCTTGTCCAGGTTGATGACGGGCTTCCAGAAGTGGTTCTTCTGCTTGTGGAAGTACCTCATACCAACCTTACCGAAGTAACCAGGGTGGTACTGTCGTCGTTGTTAGCCCAGACTCGTTCCCTCAATCGCAAAGTCGCTTCGTTTCGGGTCGTCGAACCTTGTCCATGTTGGTACGGTGGTGGTGCTGACCACCGGCCAGACCGCGACCTCCGGGATGCTTGCGGTGCTTGCCGACACGACCCTTTCCGGCAGAGACGTGGCCGCGGCTACAATCGAGTTAGCCATGCTCCTTGTTCAACGACAACGATTCCCCTCCCAATCCCACGTTCGGATGGAGGGCAATTCGATTTATTCAGGTCGATCAACGTACTGCTTGCGGGTCTTCGAGGTACGGGTAGGCATGGCGACGGTGTTGGCTGATTGTCGCTTTGCTGTGGTTGTGCGTCGAAATGGACGGGGAAGTGGATGGTGATGTTTTTGCGGCGGGCTAGCTGCCACTGGGCGAAGCTCGGCAAAATTCAAAGGGTTGGCCTGCCCTAAGAAAATGTGTGTCGGTGGTGGGGCACATGCACCCAAGGCCAGCGGCAAGAATCACAGGCTGGCCACGTGACCTGTCACTGGCTGCCGTGACGCTCGGTGAATTGGAGCCACCGTAATGTGGATCTGACTCCTGGCCTTGCACCAGCGCATCGTGCGCCACGGTCCTCTCGAGCATGACTTTGATATTCCACAATGGGCAGCGAATCCATGGAGGACATATCTGGATCCTTACAGAAACTTGATTTCCATCATCCCTACACCCCATACCATGTTCAAGAGCAATTCATGCGGACTGTGTACAATGTTCTGGAAGCAGGCAATGGCCAAGTCGGCATTCTTGAAAGCCCTACCGGCACAGTATGCACGACGTCGAGGCTCCTCTGAAAGTCACTCACATTCTCCTAGGGGAAGTCATTGTCTCTCATCTGCGCAACACTAACCTGGCTTCGCGCCTACAAGTCCTCCCGCCATGAAGTTGCGCTTTCTGCAGCCACGTCCAACATCCAAGACGAGCCCGAATGGATCATTGACCAAATGCTCGCGCAGAAGCGCGACGAGCTGTTGCGTGAATGGGAAGACCGTGAACGGCGGCTTGAGCAGCTTCGCACAAAGGAGAAGGCTCTTGAGACCCGCGTTCACAAACGTAGACGACTTGAAGAGCGGCCTGTTGGGCGCGAAACTGATGACGAAGACGCCGCATTCCTCTTGCAAGACACAGAATCCCCGGGCAGTGGGCATACGGATGCACTCTCTGGGTTGAGTAAAGAGTCGCGTGAAATCCTTGGCAGGTTCGGTATTGGCGGTGCCACAAGTGCAGAAACGCCCGTGGCAGAGCAACTGATGGACGAAGACATCAAGGTGTGCTTGCATTGTCGCCCTATTGAAGGCTGCGTAGTGACCCAAGTAGATATACTATACGTCTCGTACGCACTCTCAGCTGTCGCAATTCATTACGGAGCTTCGCCGTCCGACTTTTCCACCTTCGCTGCCAAAGTCGATGACCGAGGGGAGAGACTCTGAGACGGAGGCTGTGAAACTCCTGCCCTTTTCATCACGTCAACGATTATGTATCAACCCGTCAGTCGCGAAACTAGGCTCTGTACAAGCAATCAACGACAGATGTGCGGAATTGCAGCAACAGAAGTCCAGCCAAAAGTGCCCTTACGTGCCGAAAGATGAGCTGCTATCGCAGACGCATGAGTTTCGAGACTCAGCACTGGCCTCTATACCTGATATCGAGGACTTACATCAGCTTGGCAAGTCTCTGGGTGTTTGCCCATACTATGCGTCAAGAACAGCCTTGCCAGGTGCTGAAATCATCACGCTACCATACCCTCTACTCCTTCAGGAAAGTGCCCGAGATGCGCTCGGTATCAAACTGGATGGGAATGTGGTCGTCATTGACGAGGCGCACAATATCATGGACGCAATAGCCAATGTCCACGCCGCCGACATACGCTTGAGCGACATGAAACGGGCAAAGGGCATGCTGGGCGTCTATGTCAGGCGTTTCGGCAAGAAACTCGGCGGAGTCAACCGCGTCAACGTCGGACGCGTGGGCAGAATCATCGAGGGCTTGTCAGAATGGATGCAACAGGCGACACAGCTCAAGCAAGACAATGGCATCGTAGATGCCAACGACTTGACCCGTCACAAAGGCATCGACCAGATCAACATGTTTGAGTTGATCAAGTACATCCACGAATCCAAACTGGCCTTTAAGATTCAGAGCTACGTCGCGCACGTTGAGAGCGAAAATGATCCGAAAGGCATCACAAGGTCCAGCACGCCAGTGCTCCATAGCCTGGTAGCATTCCTGGTAGCACTGACCAACCTGAGCTCGGAGGGTCGGATATTCTTCGAACGAACGGCAGAAGATGTCAAGTTGTCATATTTGCTTCTTTCGCCGACACATGCGTTCTCTTCCATTGCCGACAATGCTCGCGCGGTCATTCTAGCAGGCGGGACAATGTCCCCCTTTGAGGACTACGAGAACCACCTGTTTCCATCGTTGGCAAAGGAGAAAGTCACAACCCTAAGTTGTGACCATGTCATCCCACCCGAGAACCTGTGCGTTCGAATCCTCGCTCAATCTCGACCTGGCAACCCAGAATTCGAGTTCAGCTTCCAGAAGCGCAGCGATCGCGACATGATCACACAGCTTGGCCTTGCTGTCGTCAACGCCTGCTCCCTCGTTCCTGATGGCGTGGTGATCTTTTTCCCCAGCTACGGGTATTTGGATGAGGTTGTCAGCATGTGGCAGCAGAATAACAACGGACAGTCTATATGGTCACGCCTTGAGTCCCGCAAAGCTTTGTTTCGGGAGGCCAAGGGGGCCTCAAGCGACGAGATGCTCGCTGCGTACACCGATGCAATCATTGGCACCAGCAGCACGGGCAGGGGAGCTTTGCTGCTCAGTGTCGTTGGCGGCAAGATGTCCGAAGGCATCAATTTCTCGGATCGCCTTGGACGGTGTGTCATGGTCGTTGGCCTGCCGTATCCGAATATTGCCTCCCCGGACTGGAAGGCCAAACTCGAGTACATTGAATCAACGACGTACGAGCAGCTCACGGGCAAAGCCATACCCCCGAATGAGGCGCGCGCACAAGCCAAGGCGTCCAGTCGCGACTTTTACGAAAACGCCTGCATGCGCGCTGTCAACCAGAGCATTGGTCGCGCAATCCGCCATCGGGGGGACTATGCTGCCATCGTTCTTGTTGACAAGCGCTTCGGTAGCGAGAGAATCCGTGGCAAACTGCCAGGCTGGATCCGCAGCGGCATGGACAAGTCGAATAAAGACAAGAATCTCGGTGAGCTGATGAGCTCTCTGGGCACGTTCTTTCGCAACCGGAAGTGAGCCGGCGAATCTGGGCCGGAGGTCTTCTCGAACTACGGGTCGGTGGCCGGCCATGAGACGGATGTCGCTGAATGAACCAGTCCCCAACAATTCCCTGCTGTGAAGAGTCACAGTTCGCTCTCGCAGTAGATGGCGGAAACTGGCTGCGCAGGTCAAGGAAGACTATTGTGAGGCTTCTGGTTTATGAGCCTGATGCTCAGTGAAAAGTAGAAGAAGGCCAATCAATGCCCCCGGAGCCTTGAGCTTGTGACATCGTGGTCAGTGAACAACTTGAATCCATCCTGGTCCAAACTCGAGAGTCAGGTTCGACAGTGCGTGAAAGCCACCGGCAGCGGCTTCTGCCGTGAGAAGCGCTGATTCGTCCTTTACCCACACCGGGAGAAGATTTTCTGGATCTCCTTCTAGACCCCGAATTACGGACTTGGAGGGGTGGGCTGCGGGCAACTGCGGAATTAATTGATAACAATCGGCAATATAATTGTTCCCCCAAACGAACAAATTCAATTTCTCATCATCACATTGGACTGACGACTGGCCTTTTCCTGGTCAGCCTGTTCCAGTCACCATGACTGACGTGGAGCAAGGAAAGATGCTCACGGGCAGGCAATCGCACTCTCAGGTGGCTGAAGAGGGCGTTTCCCACTTGAAAGATACGCGTGAGCCGACATCGCGCACGTCAGGTGTCTTCGAGAAGATCGAGAGGGTCTTGAGGAAGGGGCGTGTAGAGGCCAAGGGTATCCATCCTGTCCCAGTGGAAGACCGTACATCAACGAGATACTGGAATATCTTCACAGTCTGGTGCTCCATGAACACCAACATCCTGGGGTGAGTCAGCTGCGCGATGACGGCGGGAAACAGTAACTGACGGAGCAGTGTTTTGTTTGGGCTCTTGGGTCCTCAGGTGTACGGCCTCAGTCTGCGAGACTCTGCCTTGGTCATTCTCTTTTTCTGCATGCTCTCTACGTGCGCGCCAGCGTATCTAGCAACCCTCGGGCCCAAGACTGGCATGAGACAGATGATCCAAGCGCGGTACAGCTTTGGGTATGTGCACCTGGGTCGATTATTTCTGTACACTCGCTCACAATCCTAGGCGCTACCTCGTCTCGATACCGGTGCTGCTCAATTTGGCAACGCTGACTGGTTTCATCATCATCATCTGTGTCATTGGCGGCCAGTGTCTATCCGCCATCTCGGACGGCTACCTGACGCCAAACGCTGGCATCGTCGTCATCTCCCTCCTGGGACTTCTCATCTCATTTTGCGGCTTTCGCGTACTGCACTACTACGAGACCTACGCCTTCATCCCCGCCGTGATTACAATCGCCATCGCGACTGGCTGTGGAGGAAGCGATCTCAAGAAGCAGGCAGAACCCCCGAGCCCCGGTGCTGGGCAATATGTCACATATGGCATGGTTGTCGCCAGTTACATGATTCCCTGGGCCGCGATTGCAAGCGACCTGACGACGTACTTTGATCCTCGAGTGCCCTCGTGGCGGGTGTTCGCTTACACTTGGTCTGGTCTCGCCCTGCCGACCATTCTCCTCATGACGCTGGGCTCCGCCATTGCCGGTGCCCTGCCCAATGTGCCTGAGTGGCAGACAGCCTACGATGAGAATCTTGTGGGCGGCATCCTGGCTGCCATGCTGAAGCCAACTGGTAGCTTTGGCAAATTCGTCGTTGCCGTGTTGGCGCTGACGCTCCTTGGCAACACCGCAGGCACAATGTACGCCATCACGCTCAACTTTCAAACCCTGGTCCCTTGGGCCGTCAGGATTCCTCGATATGTGTTCGCCGTCGTCGTCACCGCAATCATCATTCCAGTCGCTGTGCGCGTGGTCTCGGCCAACCTCCTGCTGAGCCTCGAGAACTTCATCGCGCTTATCGGGTACTGGTCAGCTGCGTATACGGGCATCGCCGTCGTGGAACATGTCGTCTTCCGCAGAAAGTATTTCAGCAAGTCGGGCAAGGTCCCCTATCCTGACGCGTACGACCATGCCATTTGGAGCCAGGCGAGCAAGCTACCCACAGGTCTGGCAGCCATTGGAGCCGCCCTCCTGAGCTGTGGTCTGCTTGTGCCATGCATGGCTCAAGTCTGGTTCACGGGACCAATCGCAAAGACGACGGGCGACCTTGGATTCGAAGTGGCTTTTGTGCTCAGCGCAATCCTTTACGTGCCATTGAGGTCTATCGAGAGACGCTGGATCGGGCGATAGACGGTCGAGCTGCCAGAGAGGCGGTTAGCCTCGTTCATGGGTTTGCTCAAAGTAGATACGAACAAGACGTACATAGATAACGCCAGAAGCAGCAATATTAGTAGATTCTTGAGACTTCAACGTTTGTTGCGTCCGTCGCAAACCATTCGCGAATCAATCGGTGCAGCGGTATGGCCAAGCCTCCAAATACAGGCTTGACTCATCGTGTCTTAGCGTGGCGCAGAATCTAGCGTCAATTTGCACAAAATTGTGCACCCTTGCCCACCCCTCCACACCTCCCGAGCCGTGTGCTTCCCCCATATACAAATAGACCACACCACGTCACTTGGGATTCCTTCTCCTCTTCCTTTCCTCTCCATCCCCAATCCGTCGCCGGATGAGCGTAACCCTCTCATCCGTGCCCCAAGTTCAGCACCCTGCCCACTCCCTCCCCTGAATCACCCAAAACACCAAATAGCCTCTCTGACCAGGAGAGGCGCTCAGATCTGCACCCATGGGTTCAGCAGCTTCAGCATCAGCTCCCGCCGCCTCACAGGCCTGCATCGGCTTCTGGAGGCCGCAGCAACCCAAGGAGCCCGTCCCTCCCGAGTAACGACCGTTGCTCGAATTTGTCTTTTCAGCGTTCTCAACAGCATCGTAATTTTCAACAGCATGAGTTTATCGGCGGAGGTGGAGAAGTACCAGCAGACCATCAATTCACACAACAGCCAGGATTGTTTGACAATTCCATCGACTTCTTGAACGATCAGACCTTTTTTGGCGTGTCGGCGGGGCCGACATCTACAACTACAGGTGACCTCACCTCAACCTCCACGGGGGACATTGACTGGACCGCACTTGGGCTGGACTGTTTCGGCACGCAGCTTGTCCCACCACAAGGACAGCAGCAGCAGCAGCTACCAGACGACTTTGGACTTGTGCTAGGGTCCCACGATACCTTGGTGTCGAATTTGGAGCAGGACCCTTTGGACCTGCTCTTCGCGGACACCGAAATGACGGGGGGTCTGAATCAGCATTCGGAGGCGGGAGGTATGCTGGCTCCCTTATATACTTCTGGGCCGGAGGAACAAGCATGCTAATTCTCTGGCAGATCATCTCTTCAGCCGACTTCTCAATCACAGTCCCCAGGAATTTCCTACTTCAACAGGCACCAATAATACGCAGGCCACCACGCCAGCCATCCCGTCCACTCAGGTTGCTACCACCAACACCACCACCTCCACGTCTCCTTCCCACTCATCCACCTCGGAGTCCAACCCCAAGACCACACTTGATCAAAACCCCACTGCCAAACGTCAGCGTAACACTATGGCTGCTCGTCGTTACCGCCAACGCCGCCTGGATCGGTTAGCCGAGCTGGAGAAGAAGTTGGAGGAGATGACGAGTGAGCGCGACGATCTACGCGTCAAGTTAGCTAGACGGGAGGCAGAGTGTGGTGCTCTTCGAGAGGTGCTCGGTTCCAAGAAGTGATGATGGGTTTCCTCTGTTCCATGACCAGGGGTTAGCTGAGTGACAATCAACGGTGTTCATGATGACAAGATGGTGTTGCGGTGCAAGTGTCAGACGATGTCGATTCTTCCTGTGATTTCACGTGATGCTTTCATTGTGCTCATCAAATTCCGTTTCACTCATCATTCGCACGCTTCGTGGTATGCTGGTGCTGCCACAAGGGGGGTAGACTTACTCTGCTCTCACGTTCACAGACATCTCAGCTGGATCATGGCAAGGTCTTGTTGTCAATCGCAGGCAGCAATTTTCTCGAAGCCCTTCACAGGCCGTGCTCGTCAAGTCGACTCTCTGATACTCGTTGCTGTGAAGAATACTTCTCATTGCAATCATTCTATAGGTAACTCTATATACTCCATCTGGCTGTTCCTTGATGAACCGTCTGTTCGTCTCAAAGCTCACGATAACCCTTGCGCAGAGTATCACGGCCAGCTCTTTTGGGAAAAGTTAAGTATCATGATGAGTCTTACTGACTCTACCGCCAGGCTGATGCAATGATAAACGGGGGCTTCCCTCTTCCTTAAGGCCCGAATCTTCAATTCCGGACCCCACGAGGTTGATTCTTGCATAACTCCCACAGGGGGAATTATGCATACTCCGCCGCGAAGCAGGTGAGGCGGCTGACTACGGGGCGGAGGTAGCGCTAGTCAGGGGTAGTTGTAGACAATAATAATAACCGGACCAGAGACATGCGAAAAGTACTGAAATATGTCCCAGTTTTAGTGTCAACTTTGTGAGCGAGAATGACTCATTTTTCATCATTTCGAGTCGCAGTGAGTGACATAAAGGGTTCGGATCCCAGGGTCGTACTTGCTACGTACGGAACATTGAGGAACAGGACACGCTCTCCATTGTCGTTCTCAAGCTGGTCCCAAAGGCATGTCAAAGTCGAAGTTTCTTCAATTCATGCATCGAGGGATTTAAACCTTATGCTGTGCGTGTTTGTTTGTATGTGGGCGAGTTGCACTGATACCTAATGTGAGTTTGTGTTAAACATGGCCAAATTGAACGCCATTTCCACCATCAAACAGAACTACAACAAGCACCTCATATATTGCCTTTTTCTCGGGGAGGCATATGCGTCAAATACAGAGTCTAAAGAGCTTCAACATATGTGAATATTCATATTTATTCATATAAGCTTACAGCAAAGCCGTGGATTGTTCGTATTTTAAGGGCGACACTGAAGCACAGGGTAGGTTGATCGGAGTGATTTGCCTCGGAAGGAAATCACACGAGGCGAAGAGAGGAATTTCACCTCACACAATGCAATGGCCGCCGCACCTTCGCATCGTTGCGCGCCTTGTGAAATCACCTGCTTCCAAGCTCATTGTGATTCTCAGGCTGCCTGCAGACTGGGGCAATCCATAAGAGCTTTTGGATTCCCGCGTAGCGGATGGGTCGAATGAGGTCAATCAAACGCGATGAAAGAGGGCGTTCTCCAAATCTTTGTTATCATTCCCAGGAATTATCCGTGGAATATGGGCGGGCTCGAAAGGGAGAGAATGCTGCTTGGCCGAGAGCGCCGGATCAATTGTTATGGCTCGATCAGCTGCAGATTTGCCAAGATGTGCTCAGTTGGTGATTCTGCAACTACGCGTACTACGGGAGGATCGCGAGACGACGAGATTCATCAATCTAGAAGTGGAGATGTCCTTGAAGACGAACCGAGAAAAGTCAAAGGCGCAAAGGAACCGTGGAGGGGGGCGAGGAGCCTTCCAGCATGATACTACCATGCGCATTTGCTGCATCGTCACGGATGGTGGCTGCTTGAGTGCATGACCACACGTAAACCATGGCTGACGGCGAGGTGGTCTGAGATCGGACTTGCAGCTCCACAGGATGGGGGTCCATCTCAGAGCCTTGCAGGAAACATTTTCCCAGCGTCGACGTCTACAACCGTGCAACATACACACAAGCTATCACTCTGCGCAGAAACAAAGCTGGGGGGGTTCGAGCGGCATCCCCGGCCCCCAGTCTCAGACCGTTCAAGTTGGATGGCCGATTTGGATCGTGCATGCGTCGCAAGCGCGAGCCTCGCGGCGGATGATGGATCAACGAGTCAACGACGCAGCTTCTGGAGTCGGTCTGGACCCTGGTGCACGACGGACCCGTGTCATAATCGACTCGTCGAGACATGGTCCGCCACAAGCTGCGACACTTTCCGTGTATAATGTGACGAGCGAGACATCTAGCTGATGAACGGTCAGCTGAGATGACCGATCACACTACTACTCGTCGTGTCACAGCCTGACTGCGGCGGCGGCCAAGTATTCAAGGCACCTAGCCAGTACCTCCATCACGAGCGAATACGAATGAACATGCAGCTCCGAGAGGCTACGAATGCGAACTGAGATCGGGAGTAGCTCTCAGCACCAATGGCGGCCCGTGGCATAGTGTCGGTCTGTGGATCGAGCCGTACCTTGCACCCATCTTCGACCTTTTTGGGTGCAGAAACTGATCTGATGATCCTAGTTCACGCCGCTAGGAGAGGCTAACTTGGCAGACATTCGACCCTCTGCACACGGCAAGAAGGTGTGCTACTCGTAAACTGAGACCTCTATGTTTGAAGAGTGCACTGGCTTGCGCAAGGCTAAGTGTCTTTCTCGGGACTAGTATATGACAAGGTATACAAGTTGGATTGCTTCAGTTGTCGACAGTCTGAGAACGTTGGAACAGGCAAAGCCGCGCTACCGCGACGCCTGCATCTACATGTATTGATAGCCACAACCCCGATTCATCGGGTATATCTTCGCCTGGCTAGCAATCTCACACGCCGTGGTGGGCGTCCATTTCGACCGGAGCACAAATTCCCCAAAGACAACCCGAGTCGTTGACGTTGAGGCTCACTATCGGTCAACGCGCCATGGCCACATGCGCGTGTCTAGAGGAGGTACATAAGGTGGCGAGGCTGCAGCACAAACGTGTCTAGGCTCTCAGCTGTCCGTTTTTCGTTCAGTTGCTTGATTTACAATACGAGTACGTACTGTCTTCGCAGAACATACCCAGTGCCACTCGACAAATCGAATCAACGTTGGATGAGTGGGAAGGCTGGCTCAGGCATCCAACACGCACAAGGCTAGTTGACCTTTGTGAGATGACACAGAGTAGGCCGTTTCTTCTCTGAATTATCGGACGTGCATACTTATCAGCGTCACAGGGCCATTGCTGTCGACCAGATGACCTCCATTCACGCTCACTCTCACGCTCACACGGGCAGTAGTAGCCTTGCATGCATGCTGCCCCAGGAGTACGCATTTCCCCAAACGCTTCCTCTCCCTCCCACCATCCCCTTGATGCTCCCCTGCTCTGTGTAACCTTGGCTACCTTGCCTTGGAGATACTATGCAGGGTACGTGCGATACATCGATTTCAGTCTCACCACCATCGGTTGATCATTGATGGCCCGTCGACTGGACCCCAACTATCTACCCGGCTTGCTGACCCCAGTCCTAGTGCACTATCGCGGCCTAACAGAACTGGTGGGCAACCCCGCCCGTGGTTGTTAAGGCACGTCATACCCCGTCCATGGCCCACCGGCATTGCGAAATCGCGCCCACCACATCCAGCCTCGACGTTTCCGCCGCTCCCAGACCCCTCCGTTGCCTCTTCTTCGTTATCGTCCACAGTATCTCGACAACTCTCGGCTGACGACGCTGCCGCGTCCAACCTCACCAGCCGTTCTCATTGCCCTCCACCCTCATCCTCGCCTTTCTCGCAGTTGCGGGAGCGCGGCTTGGTCAGAATGAACCGACATTTGCGCACGGGGAGCCTCAATATTCCCAGCGGCCAGCGTAATCCCAGCAGCGCACAGACTCCCCGCTTCGATGGCCCGCGCAGTCCTCCAAGTATGTGAAATATCCTCGATCCCAGATACGAGAAAAGGCCATGTGGATGGTATTTGGTGTTCGGTTCATTCGTCCCGGAGACTAATGGCAATCTCTAGATACCGCGCACGTGCCGTGCAAGTTCTTTCGGCAAGGCACATGTCAGGCTGGAAATGCCTGTCCATTCAGCCACGACGTGAGCCAGGCGTCCGAGACGATTTGCAAGTATTTTGCTAAGGTACAACGCTTCACCGTACCGGACTTGCGACGATATACTGACCAGCCAGGGCAACTGCAAATTCGGCCCAAAGTGCGCCAATATTCACGTCCTCCCCGATGGTCGACGCATCAACTACGGCAGAAATGGCGTCACCATTGGCTCTGGCCCTGGGGGGCTCGCGGGACGACCAGGCAAAGACCCAGCCTCGCCTCCCTCGAACGTTGCCGGCATGGCCCCTCACATGCCAAACGGGCAAACATCGTCGAGCGCTTTAACGAATTCGCTATACCGCGCCGAACAGCCTGGGTATGTCCCCGCGTACCCATACGACGATCGACAAGACCCCGCGGCGTCTCAAGGCCAGCACCATAACCTCGATAATGGGATCCCAATCATCGATGGGCCCTACACGCACACTGGGTCACAGTACGGCTCCCCACGGGACGAGGAGGCACGGTTTGGCCTGGGCATGTCTCCTATCAATGCAAATGGCCTCTCCGTGCTCGATGCTCCGCTCCCTGCCTCATTCGATTCAAACGGTATATCTAATGCCGCTCGATTTCCTGCCGCACCATGGCCGTCGTCAGTGCCATCGAAATTTGGGCTCGAATCGCCGACCCTTTCAGCTAGCAGCACTGCTAAGGACGGTCGGACATCCGACACCCTCAAGATGCTGCACACGTCTGCCTTTGGCGAGTTGCAGATCACGCCCACGAACGGAAGTCCCCAGCAGGGTAATGGATACGGCGACGAGTACTTTGGGAAACGCGCCATGCATTCGTCACGCTTCGCGAGACCCAAGATGCTGAGCGCTAGTGTCCCCAAGACCACTTCGGCAGTTGATCGTGACTGGGAAAACGATTTTGCCCTGGACGATGATAGTGACAATTTGCCGGAGAACTACGTACCGGAAAACTTGCAGGATCTGCTGACTCCGGCGGAGAAGGCGCGGCGAGGTTCCATACGGGCCGATGATGCCAACGTGGACGCTATCAGATACGGCAGTCCTATCGGCACCAGCCCTGGGCGTTGGGGATCGTCTGTGGTAAGGAAGGACGAGGATGAGACTTCGAGGTCGCGCAGTGTGGCTTCGGCATTTGGCCATGTCGGCAGTCCCCTGCGCAACTCGACACTTGCTCAGGAGATGGGGTCCCTGGGTCGCGGGTCAAACATGCGCCCCGGCAGCGAGCCCATGTCGATGCTTTCCCAACAGCTACAACGCAGTCGTCTGGAAGATCCAGCGCCGGGTGGTGCTAGCCCTCTGCTGCACCCGTCCACCGCGCGCACCCCTGGGAAGGACAGGCACATGGAGCGCCATGTCTCAAGCGGAAGCATCAGCTCATCTGTCACCGGACGGTTCACCACCCCAATCGACGAGGAGGACCCAGACTTTGTCTTCAATATGGACGAAGTAGAGGAGCCGGAGAGGGCTCGCGCCCGCAAGAGGATCTCGGGCGGTCTGGGCATGGGCGTCTGGGGCTCTGGCAGTTATGCTGGTGCGCTCGCAGGGAAGCAGTCCAGTGCAAAAGACAGTCCTGCTGCTGGGCGGTAGCCGCCGTGATGGTGCACGAACGACTTTCACGATCATGAAATGATTCAATATCAACGAAACACGGGCAACACAAAATTCTCTGCGATCGGATATAATGGTTATGGGCACGGAGAACAATGGCTGAAATTGGCTCATCGAACTGGAGTTTTGCTTGCGATTTCACTTGGACATGGAGCTTCTTTTATAACATTTTCGAATTTACGGTACCGGCGCTCAGGGGATGCTGACTGGCGCTGAGCTTTAGGTGGCATAGCGCTTCATTTGTACTATATGGAGGGCAGGCATAGTTGGTGGATATGCATAGCACGTCGCATCCATCGCCCATCGGGGCACCACCTACGGTAGGCGGCGATTATTTTGGACAAGTGAGTAGTACGTAGACAGTGCATCAGGCTTGGTACGTGTGTACCTGGGTCTCTTGGAACATCAAATCGCATACATTACGAACCACTCAGCGTCGTCAGACAAATAAGAGGTATTTCTATACACTGTTACACGGGAGCCACTTGAGTGCCCCTGGCGACATGATCCCATGCCATGCCCACGCTGCGCTGCGAACTGGTCAAGGTAGCCCAGCTTGTACATGGATCCCCTCGCGTGCGCGCCTCCCCGTTGCGTCTTCCCGCCGACCCGCCACATCTGGCAGCGGACCATCGTGGGGAAGACGCAGTATCTATCGTCCACTTCGATGCATCCCACTTAAGAGGCATCGGGCTGGTTGAGGATGTAGTTGACGGCACCCTCGACTGAGACGCGGTTAGCTTTTCGATATGTCCCTGATATGAACATCCCGGAGTAAATGATCACGGAGAGTCCGGGTGCATGCAGAACGTACTCGAGTGAATGCCGTCAGCATCCTTGTCGGGGATCTCAATGCTGAATTCCTCCTCGATAGCCATGACAACCTCCACAGTGTCCAAAGAGTCGAGGCCGAGATCGTTGGCAAAGTGCGCGGCAGGGGTGATCTATCATTCGTTAGATCCCAGGGGTCATTTCCCTTTGTTTCCACCTCTATCGTCTGTCGGCAATACTCACGTTCTTTGTGTCGTTCACCTGCGTCATCGTTAACATCCGTGCTCCATCGTAGGACTGAGGAACCGCCAATCGGCAAAATCACTAACCTTGTCGAAACCCTGGAGAAGAGACATGATGCGCCCCTCAACAGCCTCCTTCTCGAGAGCGCCGCCTGCGCTGTACATCCTCACGGCCTGGAAGGGGACTGCGCGGACGACGTTGACGCGCACGGGGCGGGCGGCGACGGCCAGGGTCGAGGGACGGGCGGCCATGCGCGCGGTACGGAGGAGGGCGGTGCGGAACATGATGGGCGGTTGGGAGCGAGACGTTTGGTGGTGGTGGCTGTCTGGTCGTGACGTTCAAGGGGGGTGGTGATGTGATGATTAAATTTCTCGCGGGTTCGGATTCGTTGGAGCTTCGGCTGCAGTTGGGCGGTCGGAGAGAGCTCGGCGCCGGCTTGTTCGAGGTCACGTGGAGGTTCGCTCGGGGGGAATGTCAGCGGACAATTGGTGTGCCTGATTGGCGGGGTGTGACTTACCCTAGATGCCATCTGACACTCAACACCGGTCTCAAGCTCATGTCCCACATCAACAACGCACATGCCATCATGACTGGACGTGAACCTCTTCAGGCCTTCATTACTCTTTCACATCTATCTACATCCGAGCTTGAAGTCGAAGCAGGTGAGATGCTTCGACATGCGACTAGCAAAGATGTCGATCTATCTGCGCTGCATTAAGGAAATTCAGAACAGGCCGATTCTTCAGCCTCCAAGATTACTGGGTTCTCGACGCTGGCTTCATGCTCTCCGCGTGCATAGCAAGCAATTCCTCTCTCCATAACCAGCCCAGTAGTATCGCGTTGCCCCAACCGAACACGAAAGTCAGCCCGACTCCAGCCAGAAGCAAAGCAACAAAAGAAACCCCAGTCATTCCACGCGTCCTCATGTCCCCAATGGCTGCCAAAAGCCAGATACTTACCGCAGCAAAAGATCCGATCTGGTCATACTGAAACAATGCCCTTAGTGGTAATGCAGGGTCCTCGGGTAGATGAAGCAAAGACTGTGGCACGAAAGTCTTGAATAGCCCGACATCAGCATGTCTGATGGTATACCACCACAACGACGTATTGACGAGCGCAACAGCCCCAACCACGGTCCTGAGCACATGCTTTGTCCGCAGCTTAATGATGGGCCTCAGAAATCGGCCGCTGATGGAGAAAACGGCAGCCCCCCAAATTGGATAAAGCTGCCACACCCAGCTCCACCAGTGCCGCGCTTCATAGTCTCGGTGAAAGTACATCCCAAGTGAGGCCGGGTAATACGCCAGAATCAGCGTCGGGAGTACAGTTGCTGCATCTGATGCCGAAATGGCAGCCCTCGCAGGTGAGGAGGTGACAAGATACGCGTAGAGCGAGAAGGCGAAGAACCACAGGGGAGCAAGCAGTGCGTTGACGATGAACTGCCCACTCAGGGCCAGGACAGTTGGACTGGGAACATCAGTAATTGTATAGCACCAAGACATTGTCCAGGCAGAGAGACTCACTATCGGAAAATGGTGCCTTTGTGCACCTCCCTGCAACCTTCGAGTAGGATAATCGCGTAGAGCCCGGCGTATTCGTTGACAAAGGTCATTCCTTGCCAGTATGATGCTGGATCGGCTGGATGCATCTGTGACTGGGCAAAGGCGAGCGTTATATCGGCAAGCGTAGCGTCGAGGGCCTTGATCCCATAGAACGACGTGTAGATTGGCACTGAGACGCCATTGCGGGCGAAAGCACCTTTTTCGCGAAAGACCCTGATAATTTCTCCTATGGGACCTATGAAAGTCACCAAAGCGCATATGATCAAAGGAAGAAGAAGTAAGATTGGGGAGCCGCGGAGGGCTCTTGCTGAAAGTGTTTCGACCATGGTGAACAAGTCTGCTCGAAGTCCTGGTTTTGAGCGAGCGACGGTACCTTATATGGTCCCAGGTATGCAAGCCACAAAGATATATGCAGGATTCAATACGCCAGGGTGCTAATCGCTCGGCACTTTACCCTTTTTCCTAAAAAGGGGTATCGTCAACAAAGGCCACTATAGGGCGGGCTCGGGTGGCCTCGGGGTCGCTGCACGTTTCGTATAGCTTCAATGCCCTGCATGTGTCGACACTGCACGCTTCGTTTAGCGATAAGCCCCATGCACATCAGCAGCGCGAAGCAAAACCAAATACAATGTTGAGTTTTGATACCTGTCATTTCGGCATTGTGAGCCAGCGAGCCGACGTCAGCGCTACCGACGGATCTAAATCAATACAGCTGTCGTAACAGAGCCCAGAGTCTTTCTCATGAGCGGCATTCATGCGCGTAAGCGAGGAGGCCCCGATCATGTCGTCTTCGAGCTGCTGCGGTGTTTATACCAGTGATCAACCCTGGTGGCGTGACGCACGGCCAGAACTCAGTTAAGTGTTGGCCCAAGAATCGCAACACTGATGCAAGCTCCACGTCCAACTACCCGTTCTCCACGGACATTAGCATCGAGCTGAACAGGAATTTTGATTTCGTGTCGGACCACCTTTAGCCAGGCTTCGGAATAGGAAGCATTGGTCAACAAGAGCAGCTGCCCTTACGCTTTGTTTGGTTGGGCAGTGGACTTGGGCACTCGCGGAGATTGTTTGGGTCAGTATCATTACACCCAAGGTAAGCCCAAGTCAGCCCGAAACAGAGTATCGAACACACACATAACGGCATGGTGACTGCAGGTGATATCCTGGGCTGAGATCCACGACACAAGGCATGAAAACCCCTGTTCAAGGCCGATTGTCTGTGTTCGAGGGCTTCCCGACTGCCATATACCGATCGTCCCACGTCGACCGTCTAGCACCCGCTCGAAGAACCTGGTAGTGTCTGATATGAAGCCGAATGACGCCTTCAAGAACACAGCTTTGAGCCTCAGGAGGTTGTCCGAAATTGTCCGTAACCTTCCATGTTGATCCGTTGTCGCCCGCCTCTACGTCTGCACGGTGTGATGGGACACATTCCAAAGCCCAAACATCTGGGTATATCTCCGAGGTCTGTGGCATTCTGGCCTGCCTAGCATATGTACACCAGATCCCAGTCTTTTGGACAAAAGAAACCCGCAAAAGGTATAGTCAGACATCCAATTCGCTCCCTTCCCATGCGCGCCCCCCTTTCCCCTTGCTTTCCTTCTGTTTTGGTTTATCGGTACGGCGCATCGGCGCGGATGACAGCGGCCAACTCGGGCTCCCACTTGTCTCCGTTACTCAACAGCTTCTCCTTGTTATACAAAAGCTCCTCCCTCGTCTCGGTGGCGTATTCGGCGTTTGGTGACTCGACAATGGCGTCGACGGGGCAAGATTCCTGGCAGAAGCCACAGTAGATGCACTTGGTCATGTCAATGTCGTAGCGGGTCGTGCGGCGGGATCCGTCGGCTCGCTCTTCGGCTTCAATTGTGATGGCCTGGGCCGGGCAGACCTAAGTTGATTAGCAGGATGAAGAGTGACGTGCGAGTGCCGAGACATACAGCTTCGCAGAGCTTGCAGGCGATGCAGCGCTCCTCGCCAGAGGGGTATCGGCGCAGGGCGTGTTCACCGCGGAAACGGGGTGAGATCGGACCCTTCTCGAAGGGGTAGTAGATGGTGTATCTGCCTTCACTCAGCACAATCCTCCGTCCATGGGTCTCGCGAAGTCATCCCCAACGCATTGGCACGACTGCTCGTCGCCAATGTGTCGAAAATGCTCCGGAGAAAAGGTTCACCTACGGTGGTCGGAAGAACTGCTCCATGAGCACGTACATGCCCCTCGCCATCTCGGTCATGAGGAAGTACTTTCCCAGTCTGTCCAGCGTGTTATCCTTCTCCCACGCCCATTCGACCTTTGTACCCGTGCGGAAGTTGGCGGGCGGAGGACCGCTGGGCGTGGCGTAGCCGCGGGCGGTCGTCTGCGCGAGGATGCTGCTGCCGGCGACGACACGCGAGGTCGCGCGCGGGAGGGTCGAGCGGACGAGCATCGTGGCGGGCGCCATGGTGATGCAGGCGGTGGAGGGGAGATTGGGTGGTGGGTGGCGGCGGTGGTCGTGACTGAGCTGGGTGAGAGATGTTGACGTTATGCCGTGGGAGATTTCGAGCTCTCGGCTGCGGGATTACAATGTACGGCATTTGATTGGCGGAGCGACGTCACGTGCAGTATCACGTGTGTCCTCGATGACACTCACTTATACCTTACGTGACACGATGTTTGACGGCCACTTGCCACTGACGATATTGTGATATCATGAAAATAAGAATTCATACTTTGCGAATTATCATAGATGTTGCTATTCTAAAGTTGGTACTTAACCGCTCAAAGCAAGGCTTCAAAGTATGCCTTGAAATCAACGCTATGCTTCGCTGCCCCGAACTCCGGCCCGCCAAATGGTAAATCGTGAGATCATGGTAAGCATAACCAAAATGCAATCAAAAACTCTTCTCCCAGGTCCTCCACCAGACGCCCATATTAGCAGCCACCAGAAGATCCAACATCTTCAGACCTTCGTGGTTGATAATCAGCTTGCCCAATTTGGCCTTTCTTCCACGTTGACCGCCACCAGCACGTTCCTTGCCGAGGTTCATCTCAAAAGGCGAAAGACTCCCATCGTCTCCGTCTTCGATAGAAACATCGTCCCTCCTCCAGAATTTGGCGAGGGAGCCCATCTTTTGCTGTGTAGTCTGTTCCTCAAACCCAGGCATCTCGTAGGCAGGGAGGTTGAAGCGCAGCTCGCTGACCACGGCTGAGTCGTGTGCAAAGGGCGAAGTCGAGTCCTCGGTCACAAGGGAATTTGTGATGCCACGTCCGTCGTTGAGCAGGTGGCGACATCGCACCGAACCTCCCGTAACGCTTGTGTAGAACTCGCATCGAGTGTCCCAAGGACTCACGAAGACGTACCCGCGAGGTTTCATGCCGGGACCTGCCTGTCCGAGAGACGTCTCAGGCTCGGGCGGAGCCGGTTTGCTGCCGCTACGAGAGCGTTTCTGAAAGACATCCTTGACATTACTCGCGAAAGACTTGGAGTACGACATGACGAGTTGTCGGGAAAAGGTGGCTGTCTCCGGTGGAGGCTCGTCGATGCCATTCGGCTGGCGGGGAATCTCGACGGATTTGCGAGCTGGCATACCCTTGAACTTGCTGTAGCCTGGGTTCTGGATGTGGACATCTATAGGCGGGCGAGGTGATTCTTCAGGATAGGGCGCGGTGACGGGATCAGGCAGCTGGCACGAGAAGATGTGACCAACGTTCCACTGATGGCCGGAAGATGGATCTCGACGGATGATATTGAGGCTGAAGGAGTCGTCAAGCTTCTTGGGTGAAGGTGAGCGGGAGTTCATTGGCCGGGGGAGTTGCTGGCTTTCGGCGCGACGGTGGACACTCTCACGCACCGCTTGACCTGGTTGATTCACAGACGTAGCGCGGGGCCGACGCGGCAACACGGCTGCTTGTGGCTCACCCCTGAAAGCTGGATGTTCCGAGTACGGTGGTGGTGGAAGAGGATGATAGGGCTTCTCGGCGCTCCTTGGTTGGGAAGGCGGGCGGTCGGTCATGCCGCGATTGCTCTGCTGCGAGTATGGCCTTTCATGCGGCGGCTTTGCGTAGTCCGGGACGCCATCGCGCTCATGCCAGCTTTGCTGCGAGTAAGGCCTTTCCACCGATGTAAAAGGCTCCGCAGGCTGCTGCAGGGTTGGCAGGGTCTTGACAGGTGTGATTGGCGACGAAGCAACTGGTTTCCGTGCCGGCATGTCGGTGGCTGAGGGCGGAGATATCCCATTCTCAGCGGTAGTGGAAGGGACCGTCTCAGGCACTTTGAGGGCGGGGGGCTGGCCCTTGACGTACCACTCCGGCAGCCCTGACGAGCCAGGCGAGGGAGGTTGTTCACTCGGCAGAGGGACGTTCAAGAGACGTGCTGGTGGCTCATCGGGTGTGGGCGGCCTGGCACCCCCAATCGGCTTCCGTGGAATAGCTCGACGCGTACGAGCACTTTCATCGCTTGAGCGCGCATTGTCATAATGTTGACGAGGCGGGGTTGGACCTTGCGACTGTGGGCTGGAGTTGTCGAATTGAATGTAGTACAGTGAACTGGTGACATCGGCCGCTGTCACACTTTCCACCTGCGGCTTGGTGGTTGTCAAGATGACATCTAGGGGCGTGTGAGCACTGGCATGAAGCTGACGGGAGCTGGGCAACTCACCTCGAGTACCTGGCACTCGTGATATATAAAGCGTCAAGGGCTCCTGCAGTTGTTCCTGAGGCTTGACTGGATATTGAGGAGGGTTTGCAGCGAGGTGATTCAGAGAGGCAAGAGAGCGGGCCTCCATGGCTGAGGAATAGAATGAGCAAAAATAAAGATGTGGATTTTAGGTGCGCCGGATCCTGAGTATTGTCGAGGGCAGGATTGAGTGTTTATGAGCGTCAGTAAGGATGCGCCAACGTCACCCGTGAGGCTGGCGCGCGACGCAGGGACCTGCTGGACAAATATGATGCTTTTGGCGAAGTGATAGACAGGGTTGTTGAGTCGTCGAGGTCAATCTCTAATTGTGCTCCCAGTTGGTGCCCAAAGCCAAGCTTTTCAACCAAGTAGCTCGCAAGGGGCGGTAAGGCGTTGATTGCAGCTGCTGCCAAGGTCAAATACCTACTAAGCACCCGAGTCAAGCAATGCAGAAGAGAGTCCACGTTTTCCGAGTGAGCGTGGAGAGCTGGTGGTGGAGCAGACGAAAGGCGAGACAACAACGTCAGCGTCCGTGTCAGTGGGTCGTACTTGTATCAGCAACGCGGCTGTGCCAGCTCAAACCCGTCTACCTTATTGCGTTACGCGCTCCAGTCTCTGTCGGACTTCCTTAGCAGATTCTCCGTAAGTGTGAGCTTCTCTCGTCGGAGGTCTAGAGCAATACAATAACCCCTTCAAAATAGACGCAGAGATGACACAAAGATTGAGAAATATGGACAGTACGCACAAGTGAAGACATTTCCAAGCCACGCGGCCACGAGTTAGTGACGAAGCCACACGGAAACTAGCCACCAGCCACAGTACAGGCTGCCAAGAATAGATGCATGTGCACTGTGCAAGTACCGAGTCGCAAGGCTTGTATCGGTGATACTGTCATAATTGCACAGCTCCCGACAAGTAGTCAAATCAGTAAAACAGTCTCCATGTCCCTGGGGGAATAGGCTCTAGAGTACACCGCCTCAGTCTCTGGCTTTCTGATGTACTGCAACGGCCGCGTCGACCCCGGCGAATGTCATGGTCGACAACCGCACGGGTATCGCCGAAGGGGGTCCGCACTGTAATAGCACAGTCTCGCACGGTCATGGCAGGCCCAACCGTGCCTGTAACAATAGCTCTGAAATCTTGTGATGCGCTGTGGAGAAGGTTGTTCAAGTGCCTTGTATTATTACAAAAGAGATAGCCGTTGAGGCTCTATTTATGCGTTCTTGATCGCAT